TGGGTGGCCGGCTTCCCGCCGATCTGCACCCGCTGCATGCTTCACGAACGGCTTCATCTGCGAGCTTTGGAGTTTAATACTAGGCCTCATTTCCCATGTTCTTCGGGGTGATGGGTGGGATAGCGTACCATAGAACGCACGCTCAGCCACGGGCAACCTTGAGATGGTTACGTAGCTCCAGGGTTGTACCAACAACACGGACGGCCAAGAGGCTATGATGGTGTTGGTGCTCACCCATCACGATCCTCCCCATAGCGGGGGGACACCAGCTGCTGCCGATTGGCGAGTGAACGAGCGAGATGTTACACCGATGGGACATGGAGATTAGGGGGGTCCATCCCACAACGGTGAGCAACGAGGCGCCCGCTGCAGCGTACGCGTAGTGGGTAGTGTGGTGCGCACTTGCGTAGGTAGGCGCTGGACAGGGTTGAGTCAGTATTAAGGTGAATCAATACTCTGTAAAGAGCGGGCATATTGCATTATGTCGGCCGGCGGCCCAGCAATGTGCAAATACCAGTCTCGAGGCGCTGGCAAACCACTAAAGGATTCCAAGGCGGTTCTGGTGTGAGTCTAGCGTGCTTCGCAGCGGAACACACAACTTCTTCGGCGTTAGCACGCGGCATAGCGGTAGCTAGCCATGCCATTTCTCGTGTGGTGATGGCTTCGTCCTGGACATGGACGTGGTTGGTGTTGGAAAAAGCAAGTAACGGCCGGACCGCCTCTCCCCCCTTTTGACGCCACGCAAGCCTCATAAACCTCGTCACACTGGCCAGTGCCTACGAACTGAGGGAGAAGGTCGTCACTGCCAGTGGGGACTCAACGAGAAATGTCTCTTAGTGCATCAGTGTCTTCACGTGCTACGACGCTAAAGTCTTTCGCGAAGTTTGACACGGATGAGCTAGACAACGCCGTCGTCAGCCATCCTCTCAAGCGAAGTCTGAAGTCTGCACTTGTCTCAACGCTCCCCGTTCCCCGTTCCCCCGAGCCTTGCAAGCGCAACAAGCCTCTTTGGGGGGGAAGGGGGGGTATGGATCGTGGTCGTTGTCGTCGTTGTTGTTGTCGTCGTCCTCCAGGTGCCACGCCAAGGCGTCGTTGAGTCTCAGGGAGGCTCTTTTGTCACAAGGCAACGCACATGGCAAAATGCGTAGTGCAGAATTGCAGATGTAAAGAGAATGCAAATGCTATCAGAGCCGCAGACGCCAAATACGTATCCCGAAACACCATACACACAACGCATGTACCCCATGACATTGAGATTGGCTACCAAAGGCACAATCAAGTATTCACAAAACATCAGAGCGACCGGAGCTGTCACGGCAGAAGACTTGGGACGACATCGGAAAGAGGCGTGACAAAGCCTGTCATTAGGTCTTCAACAGCAACAAACGGACGAGTCACTGCTTCATCCGATCGCATTCTGCCGCACAGTTGTGCCTGAACGCTCTCGGAACTTGAGACCTTCTTTATGCCATGGCCCTCCCTAAGAGGGATTCCTCAGGCCCTTGACCCAGGCTTTCCCAGCAACCTGTTGCCGTTCCGTGTACATCCCATTACAGTTTCCAAACCTTTCCTGCCATCTTCCCGGCCCTTGCCTGCAAGTCGATCACGGACCCCTTCAACAAGGGCAGTTGGGGCCAGACAGAGGCAGAGGCACCTTGCAGAAGGCAGGGGACGGGCGAGACATCGTGGTCGGGGCCCGGGGGATCAAATGGTTTGGGAAAGCAAGCACCAGGCCGAAAAATAGATGACCATACACACACAGAAAAGAGAGTGCGAGAATCCGACAAGAGGCAGAATGAGTGAAAGAGCCGAAGCCAAAGAACCAGACCAGTCTCTTCTTCCCACGATCCCCTGTCCTTGCAAGGTTCAAGCCACCCTGCGCAAGCGAGGGGCTTTCCTGGCGCCCGAGCTAAACTGAAGATCATATTGAAATTAGCGTTTGTTTCCGACCGTCTGTTTCTCAAGCCCCCTTTCCCACCCCCTTCACACATCTCACATTCCACACACACACCCTCATGCCATGCCAATATGGAGTCTCCCCCCCTTCAAGAAACAGGCTCCCGGCGCCCCTGACGCCCCATTAACCAATCGATGCCGAACCGTCTCTTTGACGACGACCACGCCGCCGCCCGTCCGATCCCTCTCATGCCGCATACCCCAAGGAAGATGGGGGAGAACACCATGGTCATGTCTGAGCACACTGACATGGCCAGCGGCGGAGGCTAAGGAATCGCTGACAGCTTGCTTCAAACTTGACGTGCGCGGCCCTTTCGCACGGCCGCCGCTGCAAGCGATGTCGACGGCGCCGACTTAGCGGCAGCGCCTGGCCTGGAGCTCGCGGCGACTACGGGAGTGCTTCCCTGGCGCTTCTGGATGCCTCAAGCCACCGCCGAGTCGGGCTGCAATCACAAACTCTATCTAGGGGTGCGTCGCGTTCTGTTGACTTTCCATCGTAAGAGTGTCAATGGGGCGAAATTGCCAGGACTGAACTCAACTTGATGACTGACTCCGTTTTTGGCCTGATGCCTGACCCGAAAGCATGGCGGGCATTCAATCATCCCTACACACAACGAAACGGATTTCTCCTCCATATTTTCACGCCAATGTACGACTGAACGGTAATCGACTTTGCCGAGCGGCACGACTGCTCGAACCCTACGACGAACACATGGCATGGTGGAGAGATGTCCGGCTGTTGCCGTTGCAAAGAGCGGCACTTGCAACATGTAGGACGCCGGCTTTCTTCATCCGACAACTCCGCATGAGAGGCTGAAGGGCAGGCCGGTTTTCCAGAGACCTCTATGACTTCTGCCCGTTAAGCTTGTATGAGGAGCGACATGATGAGCGTCAATCGAAACAGCATCCGTCCTTAATGCTTGCCCACTCCCCTGCAGCAAATCCGGAGCATTATTGCAGTCAATGTCCCATGATCTGGGATGGGCTGCTTCCGTCCTCCGTGCCGTCTGGTTTGCCGCACGGGTGACCGGCCGAACATGACAGAGAAACAACCCAATGTGCCAGGAAGACTTGTTGAGACAAATTGGGATCATCTCGCATCGTCGGCAGGTTGAACGAGGTTCGGATCTGACAATGTGCATCATGGACACATCTGCAACTCTGGAACATAGACACCAGTCATCCGAACATGGGACCAGCACGGCACGTCGAGCCACCGTCCCTTTTTCTGCCCTTCTCGCAGCCTTGGGATGACGTTCCGGCGAAGCAGAAGCGACGAACGGCATAAGATCAGCTCGACAATCCGGTCGCAGCACAGGGCTGGCAGGGTATTGATGAAGCTCTTGGGGCCTCACACGCCGCACGCCCCCCGACGTCAGTCAGGCACAGAGTCGTTGCTCGTCTCAAGTGCGTGAGTGTGTGCGGAGCAATGTGTGTCTGTGGTGCCGTGCCCGCGGCCAGCAACCCCAGTCCACGAGCACCACACAGCAACAACGACAGACTCGTGCTGGGGGTGCCTCGTCCCTACACCGACCCCTTGGACCTCCGTCCCAAACACACAAGCCTTCATGACAGGACAAGGGACAGGCCCCTCAGACTGCCCCGTCTTCGGAACGGGAACAGGATCCAAAAAGGGAAATGGTGGCCCGAGTGGTGCCATGCATAACAGCACTAGATCCGGATTAGCTCTGGGCATGTTAGCGGCCCACGCACCACAACCTTGGGAGGGGGGCCGGGGAGGCGTGTTCAGGGGTGTGCCGGCAAGATGGAGGAGGGTGTGGGAGAGAGAGAGTAACATCGAAAGTGAGGAAAACGAGGAGCCAGGAGGGTGTGCGTCCACGACATGTAGGGGACACTCTCAGTACATACCCGTGTGAGAGAAGGAGGGAGAGGCGTTGAAAGGTTAGCCCTGGCAAGCAGGACCCTGCCGTTGCATAAACCAGTGACCGTTTGACCTCGAGCGATCCCATTGACGTTGATCCATGCCAGACGGGGGCCCGTCGCCCTCGATCTCACCCGCAATCCCGGCTGCTGCTGCCAGCCAGCAACACGGATACCACCCAAGACTCTCTCTTCTGCCCACGCAAGACTCGAGATCGTTGTTGTTGTGATAGCTGTCCAGGGACACAACAAGCATCGCTCAGGATCCCCCCGATGCACCCCAAGTCAGAGAACGGACCCTGTACCCTTACCTCACCCCGTCATCCCATTATCCAGGAGGCGCTATAGCCAGGCTTTGATGAGAGGCAGGTAACGGTAATATGCTCGTGCTCCCCTCTCTTCCTCCTTGCCTCTCTCTCTCTGTGTCTCCGCTACATATCCGCTCTCCCTCTTTTAGTTTTCCACCCGGTCTCATCTACCTACTAGTACCGATGACCCCGTCTCCTCCCCTTGTCGTGAAGCCTCGCAGTACGTACTACAAGCACCCTGTCGATGGCCCAGGACAAGCACCTTGGACTGATCCTTGCTTAGCTGCCACCGACTGCCACACCCCCATCGCCGTCTTTCGTCTGGTCCCCAGGCCTGGCGTAACGGTCCCAAGACTTATCCCACTCTCTCTGCCTCTGACCCACACACAATTTGTGACAGGCGATTGTGGCATCCCATCGTCCAGGGATCATCGTGTGGATTTACGCTTGATCACCCATTCCACTCTGCTTCGGGAGATCTGATATACCTGCCTCCCCCATCTGCCACCTCTACTCCATCCACCCACCAACAAGCTTCTTTCGCCAGGCCATTTCATACTTAAACTACCCACCGTCCCCTTCCCCTCGTCGAGATCTTGTTTGGAATCTTGAAAACTCCCGAAGCAAAATCAATCTCTAGTATCCAGCTGGCACTTGGGGCTAATCACGACTCTACATCTAATACTTGTTGCGTTCCTAATATCCTACGCCTATCACCATCCTACCAAACCTTCTCATCATCTCTGCGTTGCACCATCGACGACAAGAAGATCAAGACAAACACCCGCCCAAGGAGCAGCATCATACCAGCAGCAAACAACACATTCAGAGTTCTTGGAACTATAATCAGCAACAATGGCGAGCGCTTTAATATCGAACCCGTACGCTGCCCAGCAGAGCACACACTACGGATACGTTCAACCTCCTCAGCCTCCCCCGTCGCCCCCCATGGACGAGACATCAAAGTGCTCTCTCCCCTCAATCTCAAATCTCCTTGGCCTTGCCGACCAAGGCTCGCCCACATCAGAGACTCATCCTCAAATCCCTCAACAAGGTACGGATTGGACGGACTACCACCAACATAGCAACAGCTACACCACCGGCAGAAGACTGACTCTCGAAACAGCGTCCTCTCAAAAGTCCGAGACGAGGCCAAACTCCTCTCACTATGGCCGCGGTGGTCTTCCTCCCACGCCTCCCATGAGCTCTGATGCCTCTTTCGATGGTTACAACTCGCCCTCAACAAGATCTGTCAGCCATCTCTCCGTTGTCTCTCAACCCCAGAGCAACTACTACTACGAGTCAACGCCTCCTCTGGAGGCCGACGCCCACCGCCACATGGCTCCTATGGTCTCGAGAGTCCCCGTCCCGGCCTCATACGCCCAGCAGCCATTCCCGCCTGCGTACATGCCCGCTCACAACCCCATGGCTGCGTCCTACTACCCTCCCATGCAGCCCACGCCTCCTCCTCAGGCTCAGATCTCCGGCATCTACTACCAGCGCCCCCTTCCTCAGCAGTTCCCGCCCATGGCTCCTGTGCCCGTCGGTCTTGGGCCTGCTGGCTCCAACCCGTGGCAACACCACCACTACATCTCCCCCTCCTCCGCTGCCTCTTTCCCTCAGAGCCAAGATCGCTACATCTGCCAGACGTGCAACAAGGCCTTCTCCCGCCCCTCGTCCCTCCGCATCCACAGCCACTCCCACACGGGCGAGAAGCCCTTCAAGTGCCCGCACGCCGGCTGCGGCAAGGCCTTCAGCGTTCGCAGCAACATGAAGCGCCACGAGCGAGGTTGCCACAGCTTCGAGAGCGGTAGCAACTAGCCGATCTTGGGGGGTTCGACAACGGTTATTTCCATTTTTACTGCATCATGACCAACACGACTGGAAGGGGTTCTCAGCCGGGGATGGCCTGGAGACATCAGAGTTGGACAGGGAAAAAACTCGGACCGGCTTTATAACGGGAAAGATACCACGTGGTAGGCATTTACTGCTACCGCGACTGCAACAACGACGCCTTGGTTTTCAGATCAAACGACACGCAATTTTTAACAATCATAATCAGCTACGACGAAAAGAACACAAAACCCAAAAATCAAAAAGGCTCTTCTTCAATGGCGTTCGATGACTACAACAAGGGTTCCCCACGGATTGGAAACAAACAAACAAACATCATCCACGGGCAATCTTGGGAGGGCAAAGGATCACAAGGGGACGGCAATCAATCGGGTGGGAAGGGGTTACCTTTCTCAGACATGTGTTACACTTGGTTTTTATTTTATTTTAACTGGAGCAAGGAGGCGCGAATCATGGCTGGGGCAAAACTGGTCGCGACCAAGGAGTTCGCCCAGGCAATGACAAAACTTGGCATTTACAGGCGTTTTGAGTTGTCAAGGTGTGGCTGTGGGTAGTGTGTGTGTGAGAGGTGCGTGTATGTGTGGCTGGTTTGTCATGTTTTGGAGGCATTGTCCAGAGGAGGGTTCATCCTGTATGGATCCCTAACTTGGCATTGTTTTGGGTTTTTTGGTTATTATTCCGGTTCTTGGTCAAAGATTATATCAAAATGTACGATTATGTGGTAATGTAAATACAACGGAGAGAAGACGCACAGAATCAAACAAAGTGGTTAATAGTTCATCATCTGGTTCCATCTCTTGAATAAGATCTGCCAAAGTGAGTTCAGTCTGGGCTTTTTGGGTTGACTTAGCAACATCTTCATCCCAAGACATCAGTTGTGTGAGTGAACGTTCGGGCGGAATTGTGTTGCAGTGTGGCAAAGACGCAAAAGCTTGGCGCAAGCCGGCTGTGTCCATGAAAGTCGTCCCGCCCGTGAGATACTACATTTTTCAAACACAATAGGCAGAGGCAGCGTCCGTGACACAGGTTTCTTACTACGCAGACGGTCTGGCTTGTGACCGGACGGAGGGACACCGATTACGGTTTGGGCGACATGGCTGCTTTCCTGCTGACACGGGTACTGACTAGACAATCGTCGGCACACTCCACCATGGCCCCCCTTTTCCTCTGTGGAGCTCGTCTTTCTCGGTTGGAACATGGAAGGTGGACAGAGAAAGAAAGAAAAAAGAGCAAGGGAATGTCCATTTCCAATCAGGATATGTCCAAACGATTGGTGGTGCCGGGAGGAAGAGCGAGGCGAGGAGGGGGAGAAGAGAAAGGGGCGGGGGGCAATGATTGACACGGCTCGGGGAAAAAAAAAGAGTAGATGATCGACGCTGCAGAAGGTGTCAGAGAGAGCTTGGGATGAGACAGTCAAGAATTTACGCTTAAAAATTTCACTGCCTTCTTTAGTGCGGCATATGCTCTCTCGACGTATGAGAGTGCCAATGTATGCCTTGCTGTTCGTTTCAGCTGGTCTTTGCATCATTGCTAATCCTCACGTAAGGGCTGTAACTTCGGACTGCACGACAAATAGCCGTGCTGAACGTCATGCGACCAACAGACAGGTCTGCTTTCCCGCGTCTTCGCCGCCTCGCTCCTACGCTGGCTGCGCTGCGCTGCTCCGACTAAGCCTTCAGCCGATGAAACGAACTGGAGACCCCAGTCCCGGCGGCCCTGACATCCCATCCTTCTTCCCTGATCACCGTTCCTCCCGCAATGCGGCTGAGTTTGGTGTGCGAGACCTGACTAGTGAGGTTGGCTTTTGCTCTGCTCTGTCAGCCATGTATAATAGACTCAAGGTGTCTCGTGCACGTCACGGAGTTGGCTTATCATAACCTCATTATTTCTACGCTGTGTCTGTGTGTTCGCTTCCCACAACACGGCAGCGTTTGTAAGCTAGGTTGTGGTAGGTGCGTCGACGGGCTCCGGGGCCTGCGAGCAACTCGGCTTATGTCCTTCTTCATTACCACTCAATTAAGAAGGTATGAGTGGTTGCATGATATATCCTTTGTTTGCCTCTTGCCTCTTGCCTCTTGTTAATCTGGGAAACTGGTTGGTCCAGTGCTACACGAACATGTCAGGGATTGCCGCTGCAGCGCCCCCGCGGAGCGATCAAGAATCTTCCAAGTACAACGATCAACTGGGGGCAGGGCAGATTTGGTCCTCCCGACTTTCCATACGACTGGGCAGAGAGTCGCCCGCGCTCCTTGGTGGTGTGGATCCGAGTCCGTATCGCAAACGCCAATGGGACTGACTGGTGCACGCACTGCGCACACTTGTCCGAACCAGCGTCAACCAAAGAAGACTAAAGTCTGGGTTGACAGCATTAGGACCAACCATACGAAAGGAGAGGGTTGACTGATGTTTGGCGATCAGCATGGCATACGGGCTGGCAAGCAGGGGTAAGAAACAGAGGCCTTCAACTCTAATTTGAGGAACGGGCTGGGTGCACTGGGCGAGAAGGGGATTAATCAAGAAAAGGAGAACGGGAGGAGGCGCAGTAACATGGTGAACCGCCCAGGTATTGGGTATTCTATTGACTTGACAGGAAGACCTGGCTTTTCCCGTCATATTTGACGGGCTCGACGGGCGCGCCCAAATGACCACCGACAAGTGTTGCATCAACTCCTGAAATTGTCTCCGGCGTGGTAGCGACGTATTTACCTAGCTGGGCCGGGACAATCGGCAGCAGCACGGTCAGCCTTTCTCATGTTGTCCTGACTCGGCATGCAACGCTGAAGTTTCTTGCTCGGCCTTCAGAAGCAGTGCCGCCGAAATGTTGACAACGGGTTGCAGTTTTGGATTCCTGTCAACATCGATCTATCATTTGCTTCTCCCCTTTTGATCTGCCAGGCACAGGGCGTCAGAAAACTCTATTGTTGTTGCGATTTGCAACCTCCACAAAGGCCCCAATTGCATGCCTCTATTAGGTATTATTCCGCAAATTAACCCATTCATTAATGGCTTTGTCTGCCCATTACGGGATGCTTTATTTTGTTTTGTTTTGTTTTGTTTTGGAGGATGGGTCTCATTGGACCCTTAATTCATTCCAATTCCAATCCCAATCCGCTAACGATGTGTCGTAATACCAAGCTTTTGCTTCGTTGGCCTCTCTGTCATTTCGTTGGAGAGGACGGGGTCATAAGCGGGGCCGTCGTTGACTAAGGTAAGACATGCCTGAACGATGGACCTCACCGAGCACCGAGGATGCCGGGGTTTTTTACTCTGTACCTCGAGCAGTCTTAATCTTGGGGAGTCGGGATACGGGGTGGACCGGTATCCGCACCGATATGAGACTTTCAGGCGCTGCTGGCACGATGCCCTTGGCCCTCCTCCTGTGTAGGCTTTTACCCGCCGTGTTACTGTCGACATGCCATGCCTCTCTTGAGTCGTTGACTGCTCTGTGGTTGGTAGAGAGTACGGCACGTCTTTCTCATCTTCAACCGCCCAAACTCACGCCCCTGGCATGGGAGAGTGGCCGACCCGCAAACGGTGATCACCATTTCACAAAACAGGACAGGAGGGACGATGCCTGCGGCCGTCAGGCACAACCCGCTGGAGGAGGATGGGAGTCCGCTGCACTGCAGGAACTCTCGACCAAAGCAGGGAGGATGTTGCGATGAGATGCTCCGTACACAATAGGGCAGACATTGTGGACAGGCAGAAGTGGGGATGCCTTCAACGGTCAATCTCAGCAGTAGTCGTTGTCGCCACAGGGCAGTGCTTGCCTTTCTCCTTCACTGCAATCTTAGGTAGAGTTGAGGTTTAGTGTCACACAGGCCGGCGAACAGTCTTGGTCCGTCACCCCAAATGACTGACTCTCTTGCTGCTCACTCGACGCTAGACGGAGACCCAAACCCTTCTAGCGCATCACACCAAAAAGTCAAAAAAAGGGACGACAATTGGAAACCGCCCGCGCTAGGAGCAGGATCTCTGGGAGCCGTGTTGGCTAATGAGAGGCTTGGGGGGGTGGGATGGAACTCTAGCCTACCCTACCCTACCCTACCCTACCCTGTCCGGCACGCCGGGAAGACAGCAGCGGTGGCCTGTCCTTGTCGAGGTTCATCGGGAAGCTGGTGATGGCTTAGTAAACCTCCCCTGTCGTCGTGGCTGCGCTCTCTCTTGCTGTGTCCTCGAATTTAACCTGCCGTCTTACGCCGAACGAGGCTAGCTGGCTTGCATACTGGATAGTCTAAACCGACACAAGACACTAATAAGTTTAGGACGATGAGCCAAGAACCGAGATGGCCTGATCTACTCCCATGGCGTCATGGGGCCGCTCAAGCGACATCCCACGCCCGGGCATGAAGGACGGCTCATTGGCAAATCTCGTTTCCAGCTTCTGGGCAGGCTACACCAGGGACCGGCGATTTGGGACAGATGGTTCGTTCTTAGTGTGTCTCTCAATGGCCCGTCATGTCGTGTGCGAGGTGGGATACGTGGTATCGGGCTGTCGATTGGTGTTGAGACTCTTCCCCAGCTCTTGCTTTCCTGGGTGGCAGCGCCGGGGAGAACTGGGGATGCCGTCGCCTCTGCCGTATTGGTCGGCGTGTTTCTTCATTCAGTCAAGACCATCGCATACTGACGACTCGAAAGACGCGAAAATACGACCCGAGATGGCCTTAGGAGCGGGAGTATAGGGGCCATCCCTCGAACTTCCGGTGCCGGCTCCGTCTCAATATCGACAAAGAGCGACCGCCAGGCGGCACCCTTGTAGGCCTCATTGCAGGGGGATGGTGTTGATCACGAGCTCCCAACCAGGCCTGCTCCTGCAGCACCGACTCAGGACAGCGGGTGTGCTGGTCGGTACTCGCTGCGCAGGGACCGGCATTGCTGGCCTGCAGAACCTCAGACGATTCATATCCTTTCTTGGCGGGAATGGAGACTTGCGCGTGTGTGGACTACCTACTCCCTCCCCCGCCCCCCCCAAGTCTCCAGACTTGCTGCTTTGTTAGCAAACGTGCGTCGATGCTACGCAGCGGCAGTCTTACTTGGGATCGCACGCTACTGCTGCTTGCTACGACTCTGTACACCGCAGTTCCCAAGTCCCAGTATCGCGGCGGTGGGAACGACCTGTCCTCCAATCCGTCGCAACGGGGAGTCCGTCGACTACCACGTTAGCGCGTTCCCCTCAGATGGTAATTGGAGACGGGCGATGGGAACCTTCCGCCATGACGCTAGGCCGCGCGGTTCTCGACGGGAAATCCCTCCCTCGAGATTTTACCGTTCTGCCATATCGTGGTTCCTGGTCTTGGTCGACGAGCCATGGGGCCGTTGACTAACTTGTTCATCGTAGACGCTACCACAACCACCACACACCTCTCTTTCCCTCTCACTCCCCGGTGTGCGGGGAAGAGGGTGAGGAAAATCACCACACGTTATGTTTCAAGATTCTCATCTGATCAAGAACCCTCCTTCCCTCCCTCATCGAGGTGTGGTCTGCCCTGCCGTCTTGCTGTGCGAAGAAGAAGGCTGGGCCGCTGGCAGGCCGTTGCTGGTCTTTTTTCGATGTTAGCGCAAATAAGAGCGGTTCAGACGGAACAACCACTCTGCGCGCGCGGATTCTCTCCAGGCTGAATGACACTCCCACGCCCCCATCGCCTGCCACCAGCCACACTGCTGAAACACTCGGATGAATGAGAAGTCAGGCTCTGCTCTGGGCGGTCTGTGATGCTGTCGGAGACGTTGGTGTTTGAGCCTCACAAAGCGAGAGACTCGGCGCGGGGGAGGCTGGGACCGCATTCACGACTCCGCCAACTGCGACGGAGAGGGCTGACGAGGCATTTGCTCGCCGCTCGGACAGCAGTCCATTTCGATGACGCCTGACTTCTGCTACTGCTGCTGCGACGCCGTGCAATAAAGAGGGTCGAGATGGGCTGACAGGACTCATGATGGGGATGCCTTCAGTCGAGGCCATCTGCCCGTGCACGTAAACCCCGACGTCCACTTTCCCTTTTTCCCTGGACGATCCGAGGTCACCTCTGATCATCATGGTCAACTACTGTCTGGACAGCGGCATTGGCGCCGTTGGATCCGGAAAATCGAGTCTAGGCCCTATTTCTCCATCTTGCCCTGCGGCGCTGCGCTTGCTGTGAGACTAGTCAACTGCCGAGAGCTCCTTTTCATTTCGCCCGGCGTCTTTATTCCCTCACTGAGAAGCCACCAAACGCTTATTCGCAGCCCACGCGAAAAGGAAAGAAGGAAGAAAGACGGTGCGTAGCGAAACCAGGATTGGGCGGCCCCGGCGATCGTCACCGTCTCGGCAACCTCGTTGCCCGGGTTTCTTCACGGATTGTCCCATTCAGTGAGGGCCCTTGGCCTGCCATTCTTTTTGGGCCATTGCTTTTGGCCATTGCTACACTGTAACTATGCGCGCGCGCGCGTGCTCCTTTTCTCCATGTCTCTTCCCCTCTCCCTACACCCCGACCAAGGCTGTGGACACGGATGGATGTGGCCGCGGAGGCGATGACCAGCATCAAGACGGGCTGTCGCGGTTACGCCCCATGAACAAGGCGACGAGCGACCAAGTTCTCCAGCTTCCGGTTGCGGCAAAGAGAAGCAAATTGCAACCCGACTCGAAATGGCAGAGAGGAAACCGCCCGAGGCGATGATATCCTTTTGAGTACGTACATGGCGTCCGGATTGCGCAGAGTCCCCCCTCCTCGTCCACGTCTGTGACAACCCTCCCGTTTCAGGTGGTTGGGGACTGGGTTGCGGCAGCGTCGCCTCTTGACAAGCGGGATCGCGGATGCTGGAGCCAACTTTGAGCTCGCCCTGCCGCTGGGAACTCCCAGGCAGATGCCGTCGCCGCGTCTGTTGACTAACAGCTTTGTCAACCGCCGAGTCCAGCTTAGCCTTTTAGTCTTGTTTCTACATGTCTCTCTTTCTCTCTGCTTTCTTTCTTCCGTCTGCCGGCAAAAAAGCAACACAGACATGGGTGATTGACTCGGGAATGGGCAGAAACCCCAGGGCAAGAGAACACGATCGACGAAACTTCGGGCGTGGTCCTCCCTTCTAGCTCGTGGATCGCCGCACGCTAACGCAGTTACCGGGAGGGTGTGTCTGTGGGGGTCCGACGAGACGAATGAAATGGGGAGAATGGGACTGTCGATTACATGACGACGGCTCTCTCTCTCCCAGTCAAGAAGAAATAAATGAATAAACGACAACCCTGGCCGACGAACGACATGGTTGAAGACGACGACCAGACGACATGACCGGCGGCGTAGGCGGAAGATTGCCGCCGTTCTGATCTCCAATCGGCCATGACTTCCTCTTCTCAGCCTCTCAGGCCGGGGGGTCTCACGACTCGGGTGTAACGCAGGCATGCGCCGTCCGTCTCATGGTACGGCTTGGTCTTTCGTCCCAATTCGTATGTGGCTTGGCTTTCCTGACGCCAAGCTGGGGAATCCCAAGGCCGTTTCCTTGGCTCGACTTCGACCGCGACATGGGCTGCCAGCCAGACCGTCTTTCTCGGATGGGATGGGATGCTCCGTACTTGGTTTGTAAATATCCTCAAGGGTTTGGATGGGGCGAAAAGGGAGGGGGGGAGTGTCCATCAACAGCAGCTCCCAGGATAGGGCGCGCTCCGCTCACCTGCCTGGCGTGCTGGGTCCTGGAATATGTAGGGGCCACGGAAACGAGGCTTCCGTGAGAATGTGATAGGCAGGGGAGGTGATAACGGGAGGCAACAAGACCCTGAGGACCGGGGATTTGCGGTTTGGCAATGCGTTTCGAGAATCTCCTGGACAAAGGATCGTCGATAAAGTGTGTAAATCCCCGAACCCTAAACCGGAAGTCACAAGCCTTTTGCTCACAGGAGTTCGGCATCTTATGCGAGTCGGAAAATCGCAAGGGGGGGGAGGAGAGGGGCAAGGCGGTGAGAAACAATGAAAAAAGTCTGGCTTGACGAAGTGAGCGTGGTGCGGCATCCAGTGAGGACAACGAGACGAGGCGGAGCGCGCAAAGGAAACGGATCGAAGCAACGCGTCTGGGCTTGTAGCTGTTCATGGTCTTTGTCGTCTTCGCATGTGACATCTATGCGCTGCCTGTCATTGACCTGTCACGACCTGCCATCAGAGCGTCAAGTTTCGTCTGGATTATTAGTCACTTTTGACAAAAGTTTACCTGTCGCCACAGTCGGGCCAGGTTGGGAACGAGTGGTATCCCATCACCGACTGGGTTACGTTGGTTGGGCCTCCGTTCAAATCCCCTTCCAGTCTCAAGTCTGCCCAGCCTACCGCGCGATCTGACGGCCGAGCCTCATGCGCAACAGCCTCGATCAGTCAGGAATGTGGGGTGGTCAAGCACATACGGGGGCGGTCATTTTTCCGCCCTCGTGGTTTTTTTCTGTCATGGTCGAGATGCATGACGCCCCCCTCGACTCTCGGGGTTACTTGGTGAGGTTGGCCCTTGGCCCATGAGGCATCTCAAACGGTGGACGCACCAGACACCTGTCACTCCTTATGGGCGAGCCAATGCGGGGACGAAGACCGGAGACTGGGTCGTCCGGACACAAAGTAGAACACCCCGGACGGCCAGGGAGTTGAGAAAATCGCGTCGGGAGAGGTCCCTGGGCTGGGGCATGAAAGATCTGTCGAGGCTCAAAGCTTGGCCTTTCAGACTCCTCTCGAGGAGCCACTATTCTTCTTCACTTGACGGGCGGGCCGACGTGTTTCGGCTCGCCACCAGGCTGAGGTGGCGGTGTTTCAACTCGGGTAGGCTGCTTGTATATCACGGTGGTATATAGGCTAAAATGACAGATGGGCGTTTCTTGACATGCGTGCCGTTTGGATCGAGAAACCTGGCAGGGCCCCAAGTCATGATGTATATCCCAAGTCTCTGCTTGTACAGCACCCTTCCCTCGAAAGGGGTCTCAATAGCCAGACTGGTCGTTCCAGTACAGAGTCTCATGGTAAACCCTGTCGCCAAAGTTAGCCACGCGTGGGAGTGAGGGTGTCTTCATGTCTCCTTCTGAAGCAGGAGTGACACAGGCATATTGGGGTGCAGGGCCGGAGCATGCTCTTGGATTGATCGAAGCAAGGAACACTCACTCGGGTCCGGTGGCGAACAAGGGCCAGCCGAGCTTCAGAGTTATGTATTGTATCAGGTGACTCGCGACTTTGATTTGCCCAACGTCGGTAGGATGCCACTGTCCTCCAATGTCGTTGTGCTGCAGAATACCCGTGGTGTTGAAGAAGTGGACAAACGGCTTGGCCGGCTTACACGCCTTCTTGGTCGTGTTGGTGACTGCGTCCCACGTTGTCGGGCTGCTAAGATACTCTTCCGAGTTGAAGTACTCGTAAACGCTGTAGACTTCGTCCCTGAGATCGGTGTTCTGGTCGTACGTGTTGCCGTTTTGGAAGAAACCTTGCCACATTTGCTGCGGCGGAGATTAGGACTGGGTGTAAATGGCCGGGGGGCGTCCATACCATGACAATGACTTGAGCATCAGGCCACTTTCCGTGAATGCCCTGAATCAGACGCTTGTAGTGTTCAACGTAAGTAGCTTTGCTGACGTTGTTCGCTGCGCTGGCATCGTTGGTACCCAGGTTGATGACAGCAAGGTCGGCTGGGGGTTTCTGGAAAAGTCCCAAGGTTCGGGGTCATCTGCACAAGCCGCTGTCAGTCGGCCAGTTCCTGATGGTATCTCCTGCTTTGGATCGGGGGCTAGGCTATGGTTTGAATAGGACAGGTCCATCTGTTGCTCCGGTGCATAAGCATAACACATACCTCCCCATACTTCAGCCGCTCGTCCGCCCGTGTCAGACGTGTAGAACCACTGGTGAGACTGTCCCCTGGGATTGCCCCAACAATCTTGATCAGCAACACAAATGCCCGGGTAAGCCGTGATGGAATATTCAGTGTTTCCCAGGCCCGCGCCGACGCCGTAAGCGAAACCTGCCATTGCCTCGTAAGTGGCGTACATGCCTGCTGAAAGGCTATCGCCGATAAACTCTACCCGGCGAGGGTAGTCGGGAATCTTGATGAGCTGTTCTCCCGAGGCAACATGGACTTTGTCGATCTGGACGCCATACGCCCAGTTTGTCACTCTCATCTCGAAAGTCACGGGGCTGACGGGGCCGGTAAGCTCGATGCCCGGAGTCTCGGGACTCACAAACAGGTGAGTCGCGCCAGCCGTGACATTGGTGTGCATCCAGTCCAGCCCGGCGATTCTGTAGGCAACCAGAGTGCTGCTAATGGTTTGATTGCCGAACGTGACCGCGACGTTCTGGCCGGTGAACCCGAATTTGATGCCCGGGGCTCTGCAATGTGTGAGATGGTATTGGTGTCCACGGCTTTAGGTGTAAACTCACGCCCACCAAGATATCTTCTTGGAGTCCCAACGCCCCTTATAAGATATCTCTGTGGCGTCGGCATCGTACGTCGTGTAGTCGCCAGCAGCCAGATCCACCTCAGTGTTGGGGAAGTCAGTCACTCTTGGGCGGCCGTTTTCGAGGATTGTGGCGGTTACGGCAGAGACGCAAGCAAGTACAATCGCCACAGAAGGGAACATCATCTTGGGAGCAGTCGTCTGTTCAACCCGGACGCACAATGTCAATAGTCTGACCGATGGCTTAGAATGCCATGGTGATAGGAACAAGAGCTTCTTATATGAACAAGAGACCCCTTTAACATGCTCGATTGCAGTCGTGTTGACCCCTCATGACAACATGATCTAATAATCCGTCACGGTCCAAGATGGACCGAAATGGGCGGGAAATGTAGCACCTCGACGCATTAGGGGCGGGGAGAGTGCACCGGCTGCCCGGGTCTTGAACCGCTTCCGATTTCCCTTGAGCCGATCGTCCTCGGATCAATATTCTAGTTCTTGAGAATCTAACAATCTTTCAGTTGGAAGGAGGCCATTCAAGTGGTAACTCAGCCCACTACCTACGTAAGTTCGCCGTCTAGTAAATTCTGTGACCATTGCCTTTTGCCCCGACGTCAAGAATATGGACAAGATGGGCTGGTTCTCACATCGCCGCTGAACCGGTTGCGTGGCTGCCTCAAGATCAACAAGACATCGTTGTTAATGTCGAGTGCCTTTACCTGTTATGTCCGACGGAACAAGAGGCTCCGTGAACCACATTGGTGGAAGCGGGTCGTCGGTAGGGTGGAAGATGTGGGTCGCCGGGAAGGGCTGGCCGACAAGTCAATTCCGGAGAAAATCGCCGTTCACTCGGGACCGGCCGGACGGGACGTTGAGGTACTAGTAGGTTGGAGGACGGCAGAGCGATAGTGTCAGATCTCATGTGACCTATAATTGCCCCGTTTAGGGGGCAGATATCGCTATCGTCATAGAGTTGTTTCAGTGGCTATAGCGTCTCACTAGTCTATAGGACATGGGCATCGGCTTTGACGGCCGGCCTTGGCCACGCGTGCTTCATGCGGACGATGTTCTGTGAGGACGGCATATGCTGTCTAACGTCTGACCGACGAAAGTAATGCTAGGTAGACAACGACGACGGGAAAAGGGATTCCATGCTTTACGATCATGGAAGTTGAGGCTGAAGTCTTCCAAGCGCTGGACAAGGCCCCCTCCTCACGGCAAGCGCCCTGCAAGGACCGAAGCGATGTGCAGCTTGTTGCAGGAATCCATCTGGCGGCTCGTCCATCTGCATATAGGTACCTATACTGCAGCATCCAACAACCTGGCAGATGCCGCGGGTCCGTCACGTTTTGCCTTTTCCCGTTCGGTCGTATGTTGCCTGTTTCAATTCGCGCCCGTCGGCCCTGGCCTGCTCTGCCTCGCCGGTGAGAACAAGTACGACACCAGCACCTACACGAACCACCGTCGTGCCAGGCGCATGGAAGAACGACTCAGGTAGTGTTAGACCATTCCTGAGATGCCGACGCCACCCATGTACGGTTGAGGCATGGCTCCGTAGGGCGATGGATGGAAACGAGATCCGGAGACTGTCGAGGTGAGGTGCAATGTCACCTGTCTGTCCGGCCGGGCCCAAGACCGTTGGTACGCGCAAAAGTCGGTCACGGTGTCGTCTAACCATAGCAAGCCGCATTCCCCGAGAGGCCGGGCTGGAGGATCGCGCGAAGCTATCATCCCTGCGCAGCGAACCCAGTACTACGGACTCCAGGGAGGGCACTGACCGCCTGTGTATCCCCACGGAAAGGAAGAGATCCCCTTGGGCAGTTTGCGTCGTCGATGCAAGGTTCGCATGGTTCGAAACGACAGACCGCCGAGTTGCAGCCGTTCAGATACTCCGTCGACGCTGATGTTTCTTCGCTGACCGAGCTTGCACCCTGGGGTCTGGGAGAGCCGAGATGAAAAAAACGCGGTGAGAAGTGGTAATCCAATTTCGGGGAGAGCAGGAAACGGCACCTTGGAGCGTGCTGCAGCACAGCACCTGTGATAAGGAAGGAAGAAACAGACAAGGAAAAGCACAGGGAAACGTCGCATCACGCGGAGAGGAGAGGAGGAGAAGAGAGGAGGTGGAAGAAGTCTGGCGCGGGCTTGAGGCAATTGCCTACTACAGTGCCATGTGGTTGCAAAGGCAAAATACCTCTTTCTCTAGGCAGGTCCGACCCGTCATCGTCACACCGAGCCAAGGCAGGTAGCGGTGCTGCCGTTGCAGAGAATTGCTGCAAGACAAAATACCTGGGTAGCTTCTCTACCTACCGTCCACCTGCATCTCCCGGTGTGAGGACGGGAGGCAGCTTCATCATCAACTTTGAGACTCGCCGATATTAAACATCGTCTCTGTTGTTCTCGTCAACGTCGCCTCCCTCATGCTTCCCCGTCCTCGGCCCTGTCTCACTTAGATCCGTCACTCGTCATCGGCCTCCCTCCCATCTGTTCACGCAGCCAACAATCACCTGTCAGCCCCTCGATTCCCTGAGAACCATCCGCAGCGATAGCGTTCGCCGAGTAGTGTCTTGGGTCTTTGAGAGAAACCGATTTCATCCCCCGCCATCACACCCTCCCGGAATCTATCATCACGAGCCCATTAGCCCTCTGTCGAAATAGGAAGGCCAATAATCTCGCAATACCACCACGGCGGAAACCCGGCGCTTGTCTTGAAGTAACGACATCGACCGAGGGATGCCACACCGTTCCTGTCTATCCACCCACCACTCAACTCTGGGTCTCTCGTCTGGGCTGCGATTCGCGGCTGCGACTTTTGGGAGAAGAGCCAGCCCTTCCAACCAACAAACCATCGGTTCCAGTGCCATCGGCGGCCAATTTCCGTCTCTTTGCCCGTAATCAACCATCAATTGAGCCTGCCTAGCCTCGCGGCCTTTTTGCGCCAAGGTTGCTATTTTGCGATCCTCGACATTGCATCCTTGCCGTCACTAGCTGCTGCGGCGTCCTAAAAGCGTGGGGAGAGAGATCGACCGTCAGCTGATTCCGACCTTGTCCCATTGCGCAGGGGGAAGAGAAACCTCCCTCCTACCACGACCAGACGGACATTTCGACCTCTTCACCATACACGAAGCTGTGTGCCGTCATCAGGGGCCATCCCGTTCGCGTGCCATCTGCGCCGGCGCCTTTGCGCTTCTTTTCTCCCCCAACAAGTCAAAGCGGCCGAGACCTGGCCTGGGTCTGAGTCTGGGTGACCAAACCGAGACCTGTGCGGGCAGCAACTAACGAGGCATCGCGGTGGTGGAGGGTGCGAACTCACTGGTTGTGTATCACCAAAAAAAATATCCCCCCAACTTCAAACACCGTTGCTCTCCCTCTCCTTTCTTCTCCGACCTCGAAACCGCCTTCACTCTCGCCTGCGCGCTCCAACGACAACCCTTCGGACCCGGCCTTGCATTACGGTCTCCGCCAGCCTTGCGACACAGTTGGGGGCTTCCGCAATATTGAGGCTGCCGTCGGTAAAGCCATTCCGATCTCTCAATTCGCTCGCGCCGAGCCCGCTGTCCGATGTACCAGCAATGATCTCCGTGGCCTCTACGATATCATGACTTTGTGCGCGCTACCATCGCCCAAACAACGGCCGCTACAGTTCACAGCACCGAGCAACAGCTCATGCCATTCGTCGCATTCCGCATCCGCAGCTGCACCTCTCTCCTGCGCCCCGGATTGTCGTCGAACCCCTCCTCTCCTCTCCATCGAACCCCACCTCCGACAGGGACAAGACTCCGACACTCGTCGCTGCCGCCGTATCGCCGCAACGGCAACCCGTATCATCGAACGTAGATAGCTCACCGACGCACAATACACTCAACCGCTAGCCTTGCTACCTCCCAACTGCGCACGGTGCGCTGCACCGAGCCATGTCGACCACTCAAACCAATGCAGTGCCGGACACGCAGCTGGGATTGAGCTATGAAGAAATACAGCTGCTGCGCCAAGGACAGGCGGCTTTGGGGCAGGGCACGGGAGGAGGTGGTTCAAGCTCGTCGCGGGCAGCGAGTCGCGCCTCAAGCCAGGGACTGCTGCTGCTGGATAGCACCTCGTTGGCGGCGTTGGGACGATACTTTGACCGCGTCATGAACCAGATTGAGCAGCAGATCGTCTACCTCAGCGAACAGAGCCAGATGTTCACAATGGCTCAGTTCGACCGGGCCGGCAATTTGATTGAAGGAGCAGATGCCGAAATCCAGCGATACCACGAGCTTCTGCGGCAGCTAGACGAGTTGGAACTCGACTTCGATCGGATAAGGCATATCAAGGAGATTGTACGCGGTTACAGATCACGCGTCGAGGAGATGGAACGTGAACTCGAACGAAGCGGCAGCAGTTCATCCTCGAGACATAGAGAGGGCCACCATTCGTCGCATCGGCATGGTCATTCCCACAGCCATCGTCATGGTCACGAAAGCTCCCGCCGGCACCGACACTGAGCTTCCCGTGGTTTGAAAACCTCACTTCTGTGCCGTTCTCGACAGGGGAATCCACCAGCCATATACACGTTTCGTGCGGGTGTATATCGGGGCAAACGACGACGAGCAGCAGACAGAGTTCTCCCCACACTGCGTCGGGATGGAAGATATGGGTCACGCGACCGTCACAAAATCACAAAAGCTCGGGACGAGACATGAAACCGCCTTTTCTCAAGCGGGAACACACAGCACCGCGAGCTCGGATGTCTAGGCCACGATAACGGCAGAGCTATCTATGTATCAGGTTGTGTGAACAGGTGGGCATCAGTGGTCTCAAGACGGAGGGCCTCGCGGCTGGACAAGATGGAAAGGCCTCACGGCTCGTCGGTCTACTTTTCAAGGCGTTGGTTTTTTTCCCACCTTCTTTTCTTCTTTACGTCTTCTACATCATGCGGTACGGACGCCTTTGCGATTTATGACACGAAAATGCTCTCACGCCGGTCCTCATATGAGGAGACTGCGCAGTCTCCTTGAGTCGAAAAATACCCATCTTTCTTTTACGAACGGAAAAAACACACTCCAAGCCTCGCGGCACTGTACACGATCTAATTCGATCCTACCGGTAAAACTGGGGTATTTCTACATTACGAGTTACGTTTCTTTCTGTTCCTTAAACAGCTTGGGTCACTGGAGTAGCGGAAGATGACGCGCTCAACGCTGGCCACGCATTTACACTTCTATCTTGTATGAAAATTATAGCAAATCTGAAGTCTCAATTACTTGATTATCATGTCAGTAAGCATGTCGCGATCAGACTGGGTGCTCGTCATGCATTGTCCTGTTTGCAACCTTGGAGTGAGGCACCAATCGCAACTGCGAACCACTCGGGCAGCCGTTGGGCAACAACCGCCCATTCAAGCAGCTGTTTGGCTCGGCTTTCCTGTTTGCTCTTTCCCCATTGATGGCGGAAAAAAACGATGCAATAGGGATGAGAGTAAGAAATGCAACTAGCAAGACGGAAGCCCAATGCTCGTAGTGCCGATCGAGACCTACTGCTGTTACTGAGCATGTCCACACATCATGTGCGTTGCCAGCCACACTGGTCCGCAGCCTAGCATTTGGTATTCTGGTGTTTTGGGCACTTGACGTCTCGTAGATAATATTAATCAGACGATGTGGCTGGAGCTTCGTCTTAAGATTGACTCCTGCTAAGCGCGACATGTGGTATACAGCCAGAAGTCGCAAACATGCTACAAGGAACGAATGATCGAGTACACTAATCTCCATATGAGAAATAATGAACGCAAGAAATGTTCTCCAGATTCGGAACCAGCCACCTCAAACCCCGCGGTGCGGTCTGCCATGAGGTTTCAAAGGGGATAAACGACCGTAGAGGGAAGTAAGCTTCACCAAGACCACCCTCAAGCCCCGCGACTATCCCACAGACTCCTGAACCGCGATGGCTGATCCAACAGCTCCCTTGGGTTCCCAACCTCCACAACCCTCCCCTCATGCATGACGACGACGACATCGTACCCCACAATCGCCTCCAGCCGGTGCGCGACCTCGACGACCGTCGCCCCCGCAAACTCACTCTCCAGCGCTCTCCTCACCTCCTCGTCAGTCGCGTGGTCGACGTTGCTGGTCGCCTCGTCCAGCAACACCGTCCAGCGCCTGCGCAGTATCGCTCGAGCGAGACAGAACAACTGCTTCTGCCCCGCCGACAGACCCGTATCGGCCATGTTGGCGTCCAGCCCGCCACGCGCCTCGACGGGGTCCCAGACGCGCGTCTTGCGCAGCGCCGCGATGAGGTCGGCGTCGGGGATGTGGCCTGCCGGGTCGAGGTTGTCGCGCACCGTGCCGGGGAGGACGACCGGGTCCTGCGGGAGAGTCGTGAGCGCGGCGCGGACGGAGGAGCGTGGGAGGGTCAGGAGGGAGACGGAGGCGAGCGAGAGGTCGCCTGCGCTGGTGTCGAGGAGGCGGAGGAGCGTGAGGAGCAGCGAGGATTTGCCGGACCCGGAGCGGCCGCAGATGCCGACTTTTTGGCCCGGGCGAATCGTCAGGGAGACGTTGTTTATGACGGGGTCGGTTGCGTCGCTGGGCGAGGGGCGTTAGTGTGCGAAGGTGAAAAGGGGGGATGTAGGAGCGAAGGAGAGGTGGCATACCTGTACGCGGCGGTCACGTTGTCGAGCTCAATCTTTCCGCTTGCAGGCCAGCCGGCCGGCGGCTCGTCCGTCTCGCAGGCCCGGTCCTCGCGCGGGGTGTACTCCATGAAATACTTGAGCCTCGCGATGGCGCCGAGGCTTGTCTCCAGCATCGTCCACATCTCGATGAACTCGCCTAGTGTCTGGTTGAAGTTGATTATGTTCACCATGGCCAGGCCGATGGCGCCCTTTGTCGTGGTGTGAGAAAAATAGAGCGCGAACGCGACCAGCACGACGGCCATGCCGGCGATGAAGAGGTCCAGCACGACGTTGAGCCAGCGCTGGACGCAGAAGAAGAGGTAGTACGGCCGCTGCGAGGCGTCGAGCAGAGCGCAGCTCTCGCGCAGCATCGCGGGCCGCCAGGCAAAGGCGCGGAGGGTGGGCAGGCCCGCGAGGACCTCGGAGAAGTGCGTGAAGAGCGGGGACTTGGCCTCGAGGTCGATGTGCCGGAGCTGGCGCGAAGTGCGGAGGTAGTATTTCTGCAACAAGTAGAGGGCCAGCAGGCACGGGGGGATGAGCGCCGCGGCGTACGTGGCGCCCGAGGCGATGATGGCCGTCTCGGCGAGAACAGTGAGGAAGCTGACGAGGGTGGCGAAGGCGGACATGGGCAGGCGGTGGTCGATGAGAGCCATGTCCTGGCTGAAGCGATTGAGGGTCACGCCGCTGTCTGTTGTCGTAAAGAAGTATAAGGGGGCGCTGGGTTTGGGAGGCCGGGTTAGTCTTGCTGGAGGACGAAGGGGGGAGAGGGAGTCGAGCTTACGCGAGAACGGCGCTGAGGAGGGTTTGATGTAGGTGGTTTGCGGACCGGGGGATCGCAAGGAGCATCCAGAAGCTTGTTTCGCCTGTTAGCATTCCCACACAAGAAAAAGACGCTGTCGATGCGGCTTACCTGACGGCCACGCCGTTGAGAAGGAGGCTGAGGAGGCCGAACATGAGGTAGATGCCGAAATGCAGCCCCGGCCGGTCGGTCGTGCCATTCTCGGTCCAGATGCGCAGCCAGATTTCTGCAAAGTTCGTCAGTCAAACTCCCCAGGGAACGGGAGAAGCCTTTGGACGGAAAGCACTTACGCGGCATCTTCGTGAAGCCCACGTACAAAACACTTAGCAATAGAAACACAATCAAGATGGGCCAGCCGATGGAGTTGGTGTAAATGCGATAACAGTCCATATCTCCCGTCTGCCTCGTCAGCTCGGCCTCTGTGGCCCGCGGTGCGGCGGGAGGCGTGTCTGCTTTGATAGGAGCTTTTGCCGTCTCGACGGGCTTGTCATCCTCTTTGGCGGCCTCCTGCTCTGACTCTTTGCCCTTGACTTCCTCGGCGAGATGACCCCAGACGGAACGGGGAACGGAGTCAAACGAGACCTGGTTGTGGAGGATGGCGTTGTCTTCGATCATGGTGATGCAATCAGCGGTGGGGAGGAAGTTGACTGAGAGGGCGTGTTAGTCTGTGCCAGGGTAACATGGTCTAGAACGAGAGAGGGTGTGTATACCGTGGTTGGTTGCGAGGAGGACGGTCATGCCGGCCTGGCGGAGGAGGCCGTCGGGACCCAGTAGGCGCTGGAAGACGGCTTTGGAGGTCGAGTTGTCCAGACCGCTGAACACGTCGTCAAGGAGGAGTAGTTTCTTGCGCGAGTACACGGCGCGAGCCAGTGCCTGTATGAGAGTCAGTCACTATATAGCCAAGGAACAACATAGGGATGCACACCACTCTCTGCTTCTGGCCGCCGCTCAATGCTACGCCGCCCGTGCCGACAATGGTGTCTTCAGCCCTGGGGAACAGCGCAATGTCCTCGTCCAAAGTGCAAGCACGAACAACCGCGGAGAACCAGGCAGGATCATAGGGCGTCTGGCCAATAATGTTGTCCTTGACGCTGATGTTGCGCAGCCAGGCGGACTGGTCGCAGAACGCGACGGAGGAGGTGTGCAGCGTTATGCTTCCCTTCGAGATGCCAAGCTCGCCGAGAATGGCTTTCATGAGGGATGACTTGCCGCATCCCACGCGCCCGACAAGCATTGATACGGTGGCTTGGCGGAGGGCGAGGGATACGCTTTTGAGGATTTCGGTCCCGTCCTTGAGGACGATTGTCGCATCGGTGAGGGCCACCAAGGGGGTATCGTCGCCGAACGAGGTGAAGCGCCTCTGAGTCTTCAGAGGCCGAAGCTCAACAACATTTGTCTTTTCGACTACTGCAGGCGACAGCGGCTGTGAATCCGAGCCGTGGAGACTCGGGAGCAGGTTTGCAGAGTCGAGCGAAGACCTAGGGGAGGCCGCCATGATTTGTCGCTGGTCGACGATCTCGTCGAGGAGCAAGAACTCCTGGATACGGGTGAAGCACCCGAAAGAGCCCATGAGCTGCATGATGGAGGCGATCAACTTTATGAGGGGGCCGGAGACCAAAACGATGATGGAGAGCGCCGTGAAGGCCTCGGCGATGCTGAGGCCCTGCTCCGCCTTTGTCCAGAAAACCGCAGCGGCAATGATGACAATGGGCGTGAGTTGCTGGGCGATGCCGGCTGCAGAATGGTCAGGGCTTCTGTGTTGAGGACAAGACAGCGAAGAAGCTTACCTATTACACTGAGGATGGTGATGAGAATTCTGAACTTGACCGAGAGCCTCAGCTCCGAGGCGCGCAACTTCTGCACGATGCCTGAGAACCGGTCCGTCAGGCCCATCATCTTGATGCCCTTGATCTGCGTTAGCATGGACGAGGTGATGGAAACGCGCTTCTGCACGCCCTGGTTCCAGGCAACTCGCGCCGGTGCCATGCGCGCGGACAGTTTCGTCGTGAGAGCGGTGCAAACTACATATTATCCGTCAGTTTATGGCGTCGGAATACAACAACAGTGGTCACTCACGGACTCCAGGGATGAGAAGGAGGAAACAAGGAGGCCCGACTTGTCGGTAGAGTAGGTACACGCCGACGGGGAGCTCGATAGCCGTGGCCCAAACGTCATGGAGGAACGTCATGGACACGGCAATGTTCTCGATGTCGACGCTCATGAGCGTCACCGGCGCCGAGTCCGTGATGGCCGACGCGTCCAGGTCGAGCGTCTTCTTGAAGATGAGAGAGACGAGGCCGCCGCGGAATAGGGTCACGAGCTGGAACGTCATGTGCTGGTACCAGCAGCGCGAGACCTGAGCGCCATGTTAGCATCCTCTAGGTAAACACTTGCACGAGGGGACTCACAGCGAGTCCAATATAGGTCAGGGCCGTCGCGCCGACAAGACCAGCCGCGACATTGCGCGAGTCGTCTGTCCAGGGGCTTCCCACAAAGTTGACAATCTGGTTCACGAGGAACGGCTGGGAGAAGGTGAAGCCCGCAAAGAGAATGCGAGGGAGCACGCCCGCGAGGAAGGTGGTCCGATATGCCCAGAAAGTGCTCCTGATCAAACTCCAATTGCTATCCTTCTTGCCTATACTTTGGTCAGGCATTTCCCCTCGCACCAGAACAAAGACTGATACTTACTCTTGGACCAGGCTCGGTCCAGCTTGCCCAGCAGAAGCTTCGAATCAAACTTGGGATCGATGGCCCCCAGATCCTCCAGACCAATAAGAAGCTTGAAGCCCTGGAAGAACAAGCCGTTCAACCACCAGAACAGACTCCGGCTTACGACACCGGTCGTAGATTCTACGGCAGCACCTTTCTCGGTCCCGGGAAGATGTGCGCGTTTAGGCGTCTCTTCCAGAACGAGCATGACAACCTTGGCCACCAACGAAGCCGTGAAGACGGCAGCGACGGCTGTCAGGCCATCTCGAATCCAAAACGTCCTCGCCAGTGCGATATCCAAGACAATGGTAAGGACGAGGTAGCCGCCGAGCAGCGCCGACGGTCTGATGGAGCGCTTGTGCTCCACATAGGACACGGCACCGAGGGCGACGGCCTCAATGAGGCCTAGAACGCTTTCCGCGATGGACGTTGAGGCGCTGGGGGTTGAGGGGAGGGCCCAAAGTGCCATGAGGACGATTTGAAGACACAGGAACACAGCGACCGCGGCCTTCCAGGGTTAGAAACTTGTTTCAATGGGACATGCATTGGGGGGAGTTTGGTCGAAATACCAGCTTCAGCCACAGCAGCGTTCCCGAACGGACACGGATATCATTGCGGAGGAGCCAAGTGACGCGGAACGGGGCGAGGAGAATGAACAGAGCGGTCGGCAGGATGGAGAGGATGCTCTGCTCGAACAACACGGTGAAGTCAAAATAGCCGCGCACCTGCGGGCCGAAGTAGTCGTCGGCGCTCATTGCGAGATGCCAATCGCTTTCATGAACACATACGTTTACATCTTCAGATACAACGAGAAGGTACGCAAACAGAGTCTTATAAGAAAAACCAGAGTCTGGAAGCCAAGCCTTCCAAAACAATAATAATTGATAAGGTTTGCAGTTTGCGACGTCGTGAGGCTCTTAGCTAACGCAGCGACGGCAACTTTCAAGGAGAGCATATCCCCATCAGTAACACGCAATTCCAGCTTCCTATTCGAGCCATAAAAAAAGCCTACGTCGACCAGGAAAGCTGTTGCGGCGTTGCAGATGGATGGCCGGCTCTGTCCAATCACCGCCGCCGGATTTTTGTACGAGGGATTCGAGCCGTATTCGTCCCGATTTGGCTCATCACTTATCGACGCCCGTTGAGTCGTACGAGCGAGCATCTTGGCCTTTATGCTCTGCCCCCCCCCGCAACTCTGGATGCCTAGACGTATGCTTGCGCAATCTCGAAGCCTGCGTGCATCACAGGCGAAGAGTCCGAGGACCCCCACACTGCGTGTTGTTTATGACCCGTCACGACTGCCCATGGACCGAATGTGTTGTTATCAAACCAACAAACGTGGTACCGAACGCAGCCACGCGGTAACGGTTGCAAATCAATCCTAGACTTCTAGAAAGGGGCGCCAATCACTTGATCTCGCGTCATTGCGAGTCTCCCACGGCACCAGCAACCCTCAACCCGCCTCCCCTTGCCGCAGCCCTCTCGACCTCGACCTCCTCCAACGCAAGCCTCGGCCCCTTGCCGAGCACCTTTTCGCGGTGCCACTGCCCGACAAACATGCCCTCCGGGTCCGCCTCGTCCCTCACCGACCGCCACTCCAGTAGATCCTTGCCGTAAAACGCTTCGATCGCCTCGCTCTCCATGAAATTCTTGGCCCAGTGCGGCTTCCCGCCGAGATCCTTCATCAGCCACTCAAATGCCTCGTAGTAACGTTCCCGGCAGGGCGGGTCCGCATGGTACGGGCGATACAGCGTAGCGTTGAGGTACAGCGTCGGACCGTCGGCGCACGTAGGGTCAAGGTACGGCCGCGCATTGGACGTCAGCGAGGTGTCGCTCACACGCACCTCGACCGGCGCGTGGACGTAGAGGCCGTCGGCAGAAAAGGGGATGTTGTGCGGGACGTAGTCCGGGTCTTTGGGCGTGAGGTGGTTCAGCCACGACGACAAGCGGCGGAGGGCCTCGGGGCCCTTGTGCAGCGGGATGGCCCACTCGTTCACGTACTGGCTGTATAGACAGTTCATCAGCAGGGCCTTGCGGCTGGGCTGGACGGCGGAGATGGTCGACCCGTTGCCGAAGCCGTACTGCATGCCGAAGACGAACCACTCTACCCATGGAAGGACCCGCGGGACATGCTGCGCAACGTACAGCAGGTTGTGGTAGATGTAGTAGCCCAACGCGCCGTCGTAGTTCCTCTTGGGCGGCTCGACGTGCTCCTCGCTCGTCTTCTCCGCTTTCCAGACCACCGCCCTACGCGTGTAGGGGAACCACCATACACGCACGAACTCGCTCTGCGTCCACAGGTCCTTCTTCCAAGCATTCAACACCTTGAGATCAGTGTCGATGGTCTGCGTCCAGCGCAGCGTGAAAGCTGGCACGGCGCGGAAGGTGACCTCGGTGATGATGCCCAGCGCACCGAGGGACAGCAGCGCGGCGCGGAAGAGCGAGGGGTTCTCGTCGCGCGAGCAAGACTCTGTCTTGCCGCTGGCCAGGGTGATCTTGAGCGCCACCACGTCCTCGGACATGAGGCCGTGGGAAAGGCTGCTGCCGTGCGTGCCGGTGGAGATGGCGCCGGCGATGGACTGCTGGTTGATGCTGCCCAGGTTCGGCATCGCCAGGCCGCGGCGCTCGAGCTCGTCGCATAGCGCGTACAGGCGGATGCCGCTCTGTATGACGGCCAGGCCGGTAGACTCGTCAACGGAGAGGATGCGGTTGTAGTTGTCGAGGTTGAGCTGCCAGCTCGAGGTGCAGGTGATGTGGGAGGGCGAGTGGCCGCACCCCACGGTGACGAGGCGGCGACGGTATCTGCGGGCGAGGTTGACGACCTTCTCAATTTCCTCGAGGGACTCGGGCTGGATGTAGAGCTCCGGGAGGGAGTGAAAGGTCTTGGCCCATGTGTGGTGCACGTGGTTGGATCGCGCGCGGAAGGGGATGCCGTCGGCGGCGCTCTTTTCGAGCAAGGTGACGATAGTTGGGTCCATCACAGGCAGAACGTTTTAGGTTCAGAAAGTCGTGTGATCCAGTCCCCGAGCTTTTCCTTCTCTAGTGGGTGAATATACCAAGTTGATCAGTCCTACAGCCCTTTGTACTTGTGTTAATTGTTGTGCTCAGGTCAGGTCAGCACCCAACGCAGTCAAGATGCCATGTAAGACGTCAGAAGAAAGGAGAGAAGAAGGGACCATGATCGGTAATTGAAACCCTAAATATCTATTCTGCGATATAAGCCAGACCCGCGCGGCTGGAATAGGCGGGCTTGAACACCAGCTCGAAGGGTGTCAGATGCGGGAGATGCGGGAACCGAGCTTAGCTCGAGATGAGCTCATCGATCTCCGTGGATGCTTGGGCGCTGGAACGCGCCGTGATTCGTTGCGCAAGAAAAGTCATAGAGTCACCGTTTGCGACGGGATGCAAGCAGATGGGCCCATTTTCAAGGTCCGGGGCCGCCAATCCCCACAGGCTGCAGACAGCCGGGCTGGAGCTGTAGCGGGAAAGCCACGGCGCTGACCCCGCTGAGTTGCAATCCTTGCACCGACCGAGCCGAGGAAACCGCCGAGAGCTTTTGGCATTTCGTGATGCCTTCACTTGTCGACCTAGTTTCAGCAGTAGTTTGCAATAATACCAGAATATAATTTCGAAGCATCCCTTGGGAGAATGTAACAAGAACGGAGAATGAGCAAAACCTATTTGCAGCCTACATAACAGAAAGGGGGAAAAATCAATGAATGCCGGGCAACACTAGATTCAACCTCCACGCCCTGGTTTCGACAGGGCCGACTTGGATATGTCAGCTTTGGATTGGTTCGATTGTTGCTTCCCCATCCCCAGACTTTAACCTGGAGACAATTTCGAAAGAACAGATAGCACATATCGATACAGTGGGCCAGTTGTTCGTGCAGCGATGGTCAAGTGTGCACTCAGCTCACATTCCTCATTGATGGTCATGGAGCGTGTTAACGGATGAGATCAATCAAGTTGAGCCAGTATATTCTCCATACATCTACCCCATCACGACTCAGCACCCTTCAGGCATCTTCAATGCCGCCTCCACAACGTAGCTTTCATTCATGACCTCCGGTATCAAGCCACTTGATCCATACACTAGAAGGCCGTAGTGTTCGCCTTCCTCGCCTCGACTCGTAGAATTGCCCTCAGATTAGCTCTCTTATGTTCTCACGGACAACGACCGATGGGACTCCGCCAAAGTGACTGGATGTACCCTCGTGCTGTCTGCAACTTTGGCTTATTTGGACTTCGTGTCATCACCGGGCAATTCTATATCGTCTCGCTGCACCGCCGCTTGGCCGGCAGTTCTGAGATCTGTACGCCCACGTTAGCCACATTTCAAGTCTGGAGTTGTAGAGGCTTGACTTACCGGCCAGCTCCGATTGAAAACTATATACGTCCTGTCATGAGCGTGCTCCAAGGCGAACCACACTCCAGGAGGAGTGAGGTTGTGAGCCGATGAGCTTTGCTTCTAGACTTGCAAACTGTCGTCATTGCGGCACAGGATCTCGAGAACGAGCGCCGGCCGTACAGCAGCGCCACGATAACATCCATGCTGGGGAACCCCAGATGGTGCCTGCTCAGATCTCTGTTCTTTGGTGCTGGTCCTGCCATCGCGTGGAGGGTTCTTTGCAGAACCGCGGCACTGATGATCCCGTAACCTTGATGTGAAAGCTGTCATCATCGCAGGCTGGAGGAGGGTTGAGGTGAGGGAAAAGGCATGAGCTACCAAACATGGAATGATTATGGACGAAATGAGACACAAACAAGCAAAGACCCTAAGCCAGGGCCTTCAGAAGCTGGGGACACAGATGTGCTGTCCGAAAGGGGGCCTTAGTACCTGATGTGTCCATGCCTTGACCAGATCTCACTTGAGATACATGACCGTGGAGCCGATACGCTGAACTGATTACTGCATAAGAAAGGTCCTGCATGGGGCGTTGCTAATGTTTCCGGCATGGCCCATGAACGGAGAATCGCATATGAAGGCTGCTCGGGCCAATATTACCTGCAATGTCGTTAGCTGGATGGTTCTCTTGCAGCGACTTCAGCTGGCTCACCTCTAGCGACAAGTCCACAAGTCATGGTGGTGCGCTTGGGAGTACAAGCCCATTTTCTCCATTCCGCGAAAATACCAGGAAGTGATTCCGATGAGGTGAGGATTTCCAGATCAAAAACACCTATGGTCGTTGCGGAAATTTCTCGTTGTCGGTCGGTAGAATTAAACCGTGAGGTGATGAAGGAAGAAAGCGCGACCAGACGCGACGCAGACACTGGAGTTTTGGGCGCACGCTCAGTACTCTCCACTATACCTTTAACGAGTGACTGCACCGCCACACCCACCACAGTAGCAACCGCCACACTCCCCCAGCCGTCCTGGTGCGAACAGCATCTTCAATGCCCAGATTAACGATAGCAGGTGTAGAAATTGATTGTATAGGTGTTCGTGGCACGTTCCCAGAGTCCTGCGAGAATTTATAGTCTATACTTCTCAACCTCGACCGCCTCCCTCAGTCTCTCCTCTACCCGGGCAATCACCTCGGCATCGTACAGATCCTCCAACTTGGTATCATCCTTCTTGAGGTACTCCTTCTCGTGGCGAAGGGCCTCGTCTCTGGTCATGCACACCAGGTCACGGAAGCGGATATTGGACCACTTCTGCTCCTCGGCGCCCTCGCCGATCCGCAGCTTCGTCGAGCCCTCGGGTCTTCTCCAGCGCACGAGCACGAGTCTGTTAATGAGCCCGGTCACAGCGCTGCGCCCCTTCCACAGCTCCTCGGTCAGGAACGCCGCGTCACCAAGAGAAATAGGGATGCGGAGGCCCTTGGACTCTTCGATGCCGTATCGGTGGTGAACAATTCTTGTCTCCGAGCCCTGGACAAATGCTACGATGTCTGTGTAGAGCTTGTCTCGGTTCTTCGCCGGGACGTAGTCAAGGGGGTAACCTAATCGTTGGTCAGTTTGGTTATAATCAACGTAACTATGATTGCCTTACCGGAGATGCTGAGAATGACGTGATTCGCGACTACGTAGCCAAAGACGGCAGGCATAGTGCCAAGGACAGGAAGGATTCGCACTCTGAAAGTCGGCAGGACACTGAGATCGCCAACGGTGCCCTTCTTGAATTCTTCCTCGGAAAGCGGCAGGAGGGCGGCCTTGCCCTCGCCAGCCACCTCAGTTGAGTAGACAACAGGGATTCCGCCAGTGACGCCTTGCAGCTTCAACTTTCTCCGGGTAGCTCTTGATAGTCCGTCGTCTGTGCTAGCTCCGATATCGCCAACGTTGACTCGGGTAGGATCGCCTTTGGCTCCGGCTCCCATGCTAGAGATAACAGGAATCTTGTGGTCGTGGCAGTACTTCAGCAGGGCAACCTTGGTATCAATGTTATCGATTGCATCGACAACATAGTCCGGCTTCTGCCCGTCCTCGGCCCAGGGGGCGAGGAGCTCCTCGGCGGCGGACCCTTCGAACTTTTGGTTCTTGAGTTCGTACTTGGCCCAGGGGGCGATGGCGATGAGGCGGCGGTAAAGACATTGGACCTTTGGGATACCGACGTCGGCGAGGGTGGCCACGGCGTGTCGGTTGAGCGAGCTAAGAGTAACCTGGTCGAAGTCGATGAGACGGATCTTGGAGACGCCGGAGCGGGCGAGGGCAGCGGTACAGTGGGAGCCGACGCCGCCACAACCGACAACGATGACAAACGATTTTCGGAGCTTCTGCAAGCCCTCATCCTTCAGAAACACCCTGTTGCGAGCCAATTGCTCCAGGATGAGTTCCTCGTCAAAGTCGCCGGCTTGCGCCCTCCTTGCGAGGGCCTGGTTGCGAGCATCCTCCTTGTCAACAGGGGCAGATGCGGCGCCGAATGTAGTGAGCTGTGACGATTAGTCGATGATCGCAATAAGTGTGGCCGAGGGAACATGATGCACCTTTGCAGCTTCTTCAGAAGATGACGGGATAGACTTCTTCAAATCTTCAATACGCTCTTTTCTTTCGAACGCTTGGTATCCAAGAATGAGACAAGCCACCGTCGCGCCAGACAATACCGCGGTGGCAGCGAGTTGAGCATGCGGACTCGATGCCGCTCGGGAGAAGAATGAAGACATCTTCAACCTTGCTTGCTCATCATGTAGGGAAACGAATCAAGCGAAGATGGAAAAGGACAGGAGGTGTGTTTAGTGACCTTTAACTAGACCAGTCTTACACGTACACGAACGGGACCCTCTCTCATCAACAATGGGTCTCAGTCGCAAAATCGGGTTCGCACCATCGCCGGCGTTCAAGGTCAAGAAAAAAAGTCAACAAGGTGAATGACCAATCAACAGCCACAAAATCGGCTTGTAGCGGAACAACCACCCACCGACTGCACCGACCACTGCCAATCCCGTCCACAACGGCACTGAATCTTAGGTGGGCGGCTCAATTGACAGCTCCCCGGTCCCAAAGCTTGAGCTCGCCGACACCAACTGCACCACTCGCGGAGCAAAGCGCTACGAACTCGATTCGAACTCTGAAGGTGTGCGACCACAAACCACACATATACATGAATACACCATACACATAATCCAACGCCCACGGCCCGCAGCCACGATGCGCCAGCGCCTAGCCCTTCGCCGAATCCTCCTCCAGAGGCTCTTCCGGCTCCAGGCCACCCGACCCTTCACGAGCCACACATCCCTCACTTCGCGTGGCCGACCACAGCTCCCCTTCTTATCGATCCCGGTAACGTCACCGCGTCCTCGTGTCCGCTACTTCACGACCGAGAAGAAGCAATGGCTCCGCTACGAAAGTCGCCTTTTTCTCCGTTATAACGTTTCCATCTGGGGCGGCGCGCTGTGCATCCTTGGTATTGTGTTCCTGCTGAACCAGGAAGGCCTCGAGAAAGAGCACCCGACGCCGCATGAGTGGTCGTTCCTGACGAGGATGGGCGTGCGCGGCGCGAAGCACGCCGCCAAGGATAGCCAGAACCACGACGTGAATTGGGTCGAGGTCATTGTGTCGTGCAGGGAAATGCTCAGGAGGTTGGAGGATCCGAACATTGACGGTACGGGGATTCGGGAACTGCTGGACGAGCCTCTTTCTATCGACGGAGTGGGCAACGCCGGGAAGGACCTGTCGGCCAAGAGCGAGAACTGGAGGAGAGGATACTACGAAGTGCTGATGCTCCTGGCGCAAGCCTCGGAGCAGCTGGACGGCTGGGTCAGGGACAAGAAGAGGAACATCATCTTCCCGCCAGAGGTCGTCCTGGGTCCGTCGAACCCGCATCCGAAGCCAATCCCGGCGGGCGCCGAGAGCGCGCCGAACGAGGAGGACTGCGAGGTCGCCTACGAGCCCGCCGAGAACCACTACCTGCGGGTCCTCACCACAAAGGGCTTCACGAACCGCCAGAAGATGGACGCCGCCCTGAGGTACGCCTCCTTCCTTGACTACAAGCAGCTGCCCGACGCCGCCGAGAAGATGTACCAGTGGGCGCTGTCACTGGCGACAGAGACTGCGCCTAACTCGCCGCCCGTGGTTGACCTCCGCACATACACAATCAACGACAAGTTGTCGCTGCCGTCAGAGAACGTGTTGACAGTTCTCACATCAATTGCTCTGCACAAGGCCCGCGCAGGCGATGTGAACGCCGCGCTGCCCATTTTCATCTCCATCCTCCGCGCCCGTCACGCCCTCCCTCAAGTGCCTCTCCCGGGCCAGGAACGCCCTGCTGAAACCCCTTCAACACTCTGGCAGAGAGTCTGGAGCCTGGCGCAGCCGCCGGTATATCCTTCACCCCCCGACGACGGCACTCGCCCCCCCTGGAGACACCCCAAGGAGCTCTGCGAAGAGGCAGGTCTCAACCTATACATCGGCGAGATCCTCTACGCCACCAAGGACTCCAAGTCGAACCGCGAGGAGGGCCTAGCGTGGACACGTGATGCTGTCGACCTCGCCGAGGAGCAGCTCCGCAACATTGGCCCCGCAGGAGGAGACAGGGAGGCCCGGCACACGTGCCGCGAGTGCCTCAGCACGGGATTGCAAAACTGGTCGACAATGGTGGCGAGGTTGGCCAAGGAGGAGGAGGCAAAGAACAAGGCCGGCCCCGTCAAGTCCGCCTTTGGCTTCTGGAGCGAGACGAAGACCGATGACAGCAGGTGGGCGGCGGAGGAAAAGGTCGTCAAGGAGAGGGTACGCCGGACGAGGGAGTTGCTGGTGCAGGTTGAGCCGCCTGCTGCCGGACTGGCTTCTTTGCTCAAGGTGTAAGGCTCTTACGCCTCCTGATGTCAATAATGCGACAGAATTGGCACGATTTGTAGAATATTGTTCATATTTCAGGGGTAATGATACCAGATGAATACCCTCGCGTCCACAGATGCCATTCCCCTTTTTCAGATCAATTGAAGAGCATATGACTACTCTCATGCACATAAGATAACAACAACCTCTGGGATATGACTATACAAGTTCTAAAGAGAATTTGGGATAACATAGCACACAGGAGGTATCAACTACTATTTACCTACAGCGATATCCATTGTCCCTAACTGTTAATAGTGAAGATAGCCTTCGGCTGTATGAAGGACAACTCTAAGGCAATGGATCAACTGGTTCGTATTCCCGTCGTTACATGTTATCAGGTGATCGATTTCAAATGCTGCGATCGAACGTTTACTGGTCGTCCGGCTAAGGACATGCAGCATCACCGTACTATCCGTTACGACCCCTGATGTCGTCTTCCCACTTATACGGCGATCCATGAAAGTTAGACGAAGCAGATGCGTTTCTTCAATGACCACTATAGCATCACTTATCTCTGCGAAGCCCAAAGAGGTGACCGCACTATGTCTAGTGAGTCCCACCCTTGCGTACGAGATGCGCCCACCTCGCACCAACGTCCTAGACCCGGCTCTTCCAAAGTCCACTAGTCATGCTCTTCACTCTGTTTCATAATCTGACTCTCCGCAAACTCCTGAACACCCCACAAAACATTGCAATGTTCATGAGCCTCGGATGAAATGGCATATCCAAGGCTTGGCTTCACGAACTCGGGCAGATTCTTCCAAGCTTCGTCAAAGCCGCCAGCAGCCCACTCCTCGTCGGTTGGCACGTGCGGATCGACGGCTGCGACCGCCGGGTGGTGGTAGTCGTGACCCGCAAGAGCGACTTCCTGGATCCAGTCGAAGATTGGGGCACGGCTATTGATAAGAATGCAGTCGACGTAGTAAGCCTCACTAGAGCTGTAAACGGTGCAACCTTGCTGCGTGAAGGAGGCAGTGTTGGGGTTACCGCCAGGCTGGGCGAGCGGAGTGAGGACGGGGGCTTCGTCTGTGATGTACGCCCGGGCACGGCGAGGAAGAAACTCCTTGAACGGCTCGTGGGAGAGCTCATCAATGCTGGTCGTGCTGCCGAGAAGCGAGAGAGTGTTGATTCGGTGTCCGAGGACGGTCCAAGTGTCTGGTCTATCGAGGGTCTTGGTTGCATGGTCGGCACCCAAGCCGATGCCAACGATGTCGATGCGGGCGGTTGGAGGGACGAGCTCGAGAAGAACGTCGTTGAGAACGTATTGGATATGTGCCTCAGGGCTCTCGTTCTTGGAGATCGAGTGCAATTTTGGATTGAAAACGCGGCCGTGATGAACCATGCTCTTCTGCGGAACGGCAAGGGCAGGAGTAGGGCTCAGGGCCTTCTTTCCCTCTGGCCACCACCAGAGCTCGCCCGTGTTAGCGAGAATGATGCCAGGCGCAGATGGGTCGGTGGAGGAAGATGTCTGGCGGCTGAGTTCTTGGACGACTGAGACCATGGAACCCTTGTTGATACCGCCGGGACCGTTGACGACACGGAGAGCCATGATACCGAGGTCTTGATTGGGTTCACCAAAGACGACGATAACACGCGAGGCCGAGGCCAGGTTCGCGCTGGTAAAAATTGGCACATGAGGAGAAGTTGACTGGGCGCCGAAAGGAAGCAGGACCTTCCTCAAGCCTTCTTCCTCAAGACGTGAGTGGACGATATCGCGGATCGCTTCTGTTGAAAGTCAGTGGCAAGCAGGAGGAAGAGGGGCAGTAATTGGTTCTTGCCGCTGAAGTGGAAACGCTGACGATCGTTGACTCTACCATTCTTGGTGAGGTAGTACTTGAAGTAGTAGTTCGGGTTCCCGATATTGCGAATCTCATCTTGGTCGTTGACAAAGTAGCTGTGGACGTTAGCTTCTGGAAGTTTGAGCAAGGCGGGAGAGCCCTTACCCAAGATCCTTTAAGTTGGATGAGAACACGGGGTCCTTGGGAAGACCAGACCAGCGACGGCGGAACATGGTGACTTGGCATGGAGTTGGTCGTATAGGTGGAGGTGAAAGGTCGGTGAGAAGACATCGGTCTAGATGCTCTTTTAATCAAGGATTCGGAGGAGGTCAAAGGGTAGGCAGGTGCGAACGAAGTGAAAATAAACGATACTAGAGGAGACATCAACTCGCAAGACAATGAAGGCAAGGGCGCTTGCTCATTGGCTCTTTCTATCTTTTGCATTACGTCGAAGCCTGCAATTTCTCCAAACCCAATTTACAGCTGATTGGAGATGTTGTACATTTTCGTCTTGGTGTTGTATATTTGTACATATCCTCTTCAGGTTGCTTACATGCGACCAAACTCCTAACCCCAAGTCGTCTATGAGTGCCCGACTACGCGCATATATCTCCCGCCCTCCGGAAGAGCGTGCTGAACACTTTGTATTTTACAGTGGCACTTTCACGCCGTATTCCCCGGTATCGTCCTCCCTTCCATGCTCTTTTACCAACTGGCCCTCTTGACACCGGGCAGGTTGCCCTCGTACGCTTGCATACGGAAGTTGAACTAAAGAAAATTTCAGACATTTGTACTAGTAACCCGGCGGAACGGCTCTTCAAACATACCCTCGTCATCTTGAATTCACGGAAAACACCCCTGGCCTTGCCGCCCAAGATGCAGCGGTTGCGGATCTGCGTCGGGCGGGTGTAGCAGTGCATTTGGCCCAGCTGAAGCTGCGCCTCGGCGCGCACACGGGGAGGTAGCGTCGTGTTTCGAATGATGTATCGGAGAGCTTGTCTATCGGTGTGCATCCGTCAGTCTTTGGTCGTGCAATTTCGCATGGCATTGTTTTATCTGCGGTTGCTCACCTCTCGGGCTCGTTCTCCATGAAGACCTGGCGTTTCGTGTGGTCACGAATCGTCCGGATGTTGACGAAACAGCCCAAATCGAGCTTCTTGGCGCGGAACATCGACATTTTGGGCGGTGGTTGTGGCGGATTGAGCGGGATGTCACTGGTCGTGTCATCGAAAAGTTGAGCTTCGAAGCTCGAATTGAAGTTCGCGACGGTCACGTGGGTCCTTATCTTATCGGCCGCTCACCCAGCTCATCAAGCCCAACTCGACTTCACTTACGAATGCCAACCTGTGATGGAGCTTCACCCCATCTGGGATCGGGACAAGCAACAACTAGATTTGAGCATCTGGGATACTGCTGCTTGAAATTGGCGAGAAACATCATTTTTGGTATTCGATTAACCGTAAGCCATCCAAGAACGCCAGCCATCATCACAGGCCATGACTGAACCCCTAACAGTGAAATATGATACAGCTGCCACACGGTGTTGCAAAAGCGACAATTTTCCCTCCAAAAAAAAAAACAAAGCAGTTCTCATCGTACGCGGAAAGGCAGCGCACGATTTGGCTGCTATAATTGGTCCAGTAACTTCTGCCGCCGCCGGTTGATCAGCTCTTCCTGCACTTCCTCCAGCGTCGGTAGTTCCCAACCCTTTCCATCGCCGGTGTCGCCTGGCAATGGCTCCCAATCGGGCGGCAGTTGCTGCTTGCCCGTCTTCGCCATGTGCTCGAACGCTTCCTCTTCCTTTGCAAGTTCGTACGCGAGCAGTTCGGGATCCTCCTCATCTGGCGCGTAACCGTAGTAGGCGGCATCGACCTGTTTTCGCAAGTCGTCTCTTGTTTCCAGTGGTTTTTCGTCGGTCGTCTTCGCCTTAGCTGCGTCGAACAGTTCCTTGACGCCAGGTAGGTCTCTCGCACGGCCAAAGTAGCGGTAGCCCTTGCCGCCTCCTGGTATCTCTCGCCCTTGCTCGTCGTATATTTTGCCGCCCCCGCGCATGTAGTTCGGACCGCCTAGATTCCGTATTTGCACCTCCCACATGTACTTCTCCCTCATGAGTTTGTTGATCTCGTCATTGAGGTCGCGGATTTGGTAGTCGCTAAGCGCGGTGTCTTGGATCTTCGAGACCTTGCGCGAGATCTCCTTCAGTACCTGGCCACGCCATTTTTCGCAGGATGGTATCGAGTCGACTTCGGTAATCACTCTCGGTCGCCTTGTCCGGCCAATGTCGATAATGCCCAGGTCCGCTGCTTGCGCTTCGCGGAAGCGAAAGAGCATGCTCTGCGCCTTTTCCGAATTTCGCGCCTGTACATGTTAGCTGATTGACACCTTAGAAGCGGTAACAGTCCACTTACCATCTTGAGAGCTTTGGAGACCGAGAGATTTCGGGCTTCTTGAGAATGGAGTCGGATTTGACCGTGGAGGTGAAAGTTATACGGCAGGGCCTTGCAATGTTCAGAAAGCTTTCGGCCGCCAATGTTGCGCGCCGGGCACGGGCCTTCGTCTCCCCCACATCCAATCAGCCACGCCTTCAACGGGGTACGCCCAATGAGGTACGTACCTGGTGCTGCTCTGTACAGGTAACAGCACCTTTGTGCTCCCACCTCAAATGTGACGTGCGAGCTTCCTTCACACTTCTGGAGCTGTCCATCTCCACGACAAGCTCAGAACACCACCCATCACAATGCGCCTTACGACGCTGCTTCTTGCAGCTTCATCCCTCGTCGGCGCAGTATTCATCGATGAGGTTGGCGACATTGATTACCACCACGAACTCCTCGGCGTCCCCCAGGTCGAAACCACCCTCTTTCACAAGCCCCGGCGCGACGATAAGGCTTCTCTGCTCTACACCCTCAGCGATGTTGGCGTGCTTGGGGCCGTGAACCCCAGCAATGGTGCAGTTGTTTGGCGCCAGTTCCTAACGGGAGATACCACGTATGGCGGTGGACACTTGCGGGCTGCTGAGGGCGAGGATTGGGTTGTGTCAGCGTACGGCAACTCTGTGCACGCCTGGAATGCCTTATCGGGAAAGAACGCTTGGTGGATCGACTTCGCCGGCGAGATCCGGGATCTTGAGGTGATGGAGCTGACGGAGAACGGTCGCAAGGACGTTCTGGCGCTCTTCGAAGAGGAGGACGGTACTACGGTTTTGAGAAGACTCAATGGCGGCGACGGCAGCGTGGTTTGGGAATTCAAGGATGCGAGCAATACCAGCCCACTCCAAGTCTCGAACAACATCGAGAAGATCTTCGTGGTCAGCCTATACGGTACCGACGGCATGTGGGCTGTGCGGGTGTCGGTCCACGACACTCTCACTGGCAAGCGCATCGACGACATCAGCCTCGGTAGCAAGGGCGACGTTACAGACAAGAAGGATGTCATGTTTGTGGGTGCCAACTCGGCATCTCCCATTGTCGCCTGGCTCGACAGCGACCATACGAAGCTGAAGGTCAATGTTTTGGGCACAAAGTCAAAGCAGGAATTTGCTTTGCCTTTCCCTAAGACGCTGGACGTTGCTGTCCATGCCCCGCACCACCTCAACGCGGAGCCGCACTTCCTGGTCCACAGCAGATCTGGTGACAGCCACAAGGGCGAGGTTTACCACGTCAATATCAAGAACAATGCAGTCACCAAGCACCATGAGCTGCCAGTCCTTCCGGGCCTGGGCGCTTTCTCGACTAGCTCGGATGGCGCCAACGTCTGGTTCACTCGCATTACGCAGGAGGAAATTATCCTGACGTCCTCGAGTTCCCATGCCGTCCTTGGAAAGTGGGCATTCACGGAAGGCTCGGAAAGCATTACTGCTTTCCACGCGGTTTCGGAAGTCATCAAGAAGGCTGCTGATAACTTTGCTGTTCGCTGCGCCGCCGTTACCACCTTGGACGACTGGGTATTGGTCCGCAACGGAGAACAGGCCTGGATTCGTCCCGAAGGTCTCACTGGGGGTGTAGCTGCTGCGTTCGCTGAGATCCCCGAGAGCGAGGATCTAGCCAAGACCCTTGAGGCTGAGGCCCACGACAACGCTTTATCCGCCTACATCCACCGTGTTAAGCGTCACTTTGATGACCTCGCTTACTTGCCGGACTACCTCGCCTCAATTCCCCAACGCCTTGTTAGTAGCATCACCGGAGCCGAGCTTTCCTCCAAGACTGAAGGCCTCGTACGTGACGCTTTCGGCTTCAACAAGATTGCCGTCTTGGTCACCCGACGCGGCAAGCTTTTTGGTATCGACATTGGCAAGCACGGAAAAGTCATTTGGAAGCTCCACGCTGCCCAGATCCCTTCATGGGATGCTTGGGACGTCCAGGGAATCTTTGTTGAGGATGCAAAGTCTCAAGTTACTGTACGCGGCTACTTCGGAGAGTACGTGGTTGCCAAAACCGACACTGGAAAGATGGTCGATTCCATGCCCCAAGGCTCTTGGGTCCAAACACAATCTGCTGTCGTCGTCGATAGCGCATCTGGCCAGTGGCTTGCGCCTGTTGGCTACGGGGGCGCTATTGGAGATGTTCCTGCTGAATGGGCGCCGACACAGACCGTTGTCGTCCGCGGCCTGAAGGGCGAACTCAAGGGCCTGACCTTCATCATCGAGGATGGCACCGGAAAGGAGCAGGTTGCTTGGGAGTTTGCCCCCCCTACTGGCTACGAAATTGTCAACGTGGCAACGCGGCGTACTCACGACCCTATTGCTTCCATTGGACGCGTTCTCGGTGACAGAAGGGTCAAGTATAAGTACTTGAACCCCAACACCATTGTTGCCTCTGCGTACAATGCCGCTAAATCGACTCTCAACGTCTACCTTATTGACTCGGTTTCGGGCCTGGTTCTTCACACAGCGACTCATGAGGGAGTGGATGGCAGCAAGAACATCGAGTGCACTCTGGCGGAGAACTGGTTCGTATGCACGTTCTTTGGTGAGTACGCCCTCAAGGATGATGCTGGCCAGCCTCTTTCCGGCCAATCTCTCAAGGGTAACCAAATTGTTGTCTCCGATCTGTACGAGAGCGACTACGCCGATGACCGAGGGCCGCTGGGTGATGCTGCGAACTTCTCTTCCACCCAGCCCGTCGATACTCCCACTGGTGCCCCTCTCCCTTCGGTTATCAGCCAAGCTTGGATCCTCTCTGCTCCTCTGGCTGCTTTGGCCGTCACTCAGACTCGCCAGGGTATCACCAGCCGTCACGTCCTCGGCTATCTGCCTCAGTCCCATGCTATTGTCGGACTTCCGCGCCAGCTCCTCGAGCCGCGCCGACCTGTGGGACGTGACCCGACTCCCGCCGAAATGGAGGCGGAAGGCTTGATCAAGTACCACCCTGCCCTGGAGATCGACCCCCGACAGATCATCACCCACCAGCGCGACGTCATTGGCATCAAGAAGATCATCACCTCGCCTACCATTGTGGAGAGCACCAGCTTGGTCTTCGCGTACGGTGTCGATGTGTTTGGCAGCCGTGTGGCCCCCAGCTTTACTTTCGATATCCTTGGCAGAGGCTTCAACAAGATCAGCCTGATTTCGACCGTCCTTGCACTCACTGTCGGTGTTGCGGTGCTAGGACCCATCGTAAGTACCGTTTTCTCGAAGAGAGCAGTTTTTTACTAATGACTACTTAGGTGCGCAAGAAGCAAACAAACATGCGTTGGGCGTAGATACGCAGAGTATATGATAGACATGATATAATAGAATTTTGAGTTTGTACAACATTCTTCCGAAAATTTGATCCCGGGCCTTGTGTTTGCATTTAGAGGACGATGAACGAAACGATCCCCTAGTTTCTGCTAACATAAAGAATGTTCCTGTCCCTTTGTGTGTGTCTCAACGTGGTTGAAGTCGACTCCTGCATGGCCCCCAGCTTGGTGATCTTGCCCACCGAATCGAACGAAATCATCGCTAGGTGAGCTGTTAGATACGGTTGTCACGATACCTTACTTATCACACCGCCGACGGGCAGTTTGATCAAGGTAGTTTCGCAATGTAGGTGAAGTATAGGTTCCTATTGGTGAACTCCATCCCATTGATGCCGAAGGGCAGGGAACCCTGTGGCATCATTGACTTATAAACCACGAGGACGGCGTGCGCCCCTGTCTCAAAATCCGTTGCGTACACCTCCCCGGCCGCCGCTTCGCCGATGGGGAGGATATGGTTTGTCCGATCGAGTTCGAACTTGGCGATGCCGTCGTAGAGCTTGCTCTTTGCCACGATCTTCGCGACCGATGCCTTCAGAGCAGTCCTGGTGATGCCTAGCTTCCAGATGACCCACGGACCGGAGGGTTTGGTGTTTCTAGAAGTGTGATACTTACCCGCCACGACAATCCAAATGTTGGGGACATCTCTACGAAGCCTGCTGTGGCGTAGGCATCGGGGAAGTGTGGATCTCAGTGGTAGTCTTGGAGAAGAAGTTGAGGGACCAGAGTTCGGGCTAGTCCATGCAAGTTATGAGGAGAGTATCGTCGAGGCGGGTGGCGAGATTTTCAGCCTAACCTTAGGGAAACTGCGGATTTGTGTCGTGGGAGATTGGTGGATGTGGATAGATGCTGTTGCGATGGTAAGGAAGATTGGGATGAAAGGGGGGACACAGAAGGGAGGGCGGCTCAAGTGAAGATATCCGAAGGTACCGGTAAAACCAACTTTGATGCCGAAACAGCCTAGCCGTTGGTTTCTGCCGATTCTGCTCCACAACCGTACAATGCACTCAAGACTCTGAAGAACCTTTACCTCGTTGCTTCCAAGTAAGGGAAGACTATAGAAACATGAGCACACGCAAGCCTCTCTGCGACTTTTACTAAAAACAACAACACTTTGCCAGTGCTAATGATGATTGTACCAAAGCATACGCTCACTCTGATCTTGGATATTAACGGCAGTTGCGCTTGAGGCATAACCTACATGTAGTCGATTCAAAGTCTTCAGCAGAGAGACCGCTCATCATTGCAATCCTCCATACTGAAGAGGATATTAGTCAAACTTTATTTCTTTGTTCATTGAAATCCGTTTCTCACTCTTCCCATGGCGTTCATTGTTTTGCCTTCGAGATTTGCGTGGATCATGGTATCATCAGATTACGTTTCCACTGCTGAACATCGGGCGATCCCTTGTTTGAACTATACAGCCATTGACTTTCTCATCCCGACCACAGAGCATCTGGCTAGCACACCACGGCATCCATCCATGTCATTACGTAACTCGGATCCATACATCAGACGGTTGATGAACAAAGCATGCTGCTGGGCCGTAGCGGCTCAACGATGCCATTCGGCCGCCACTACCAAAGACTCGGGTAGTGTGTCCCAATCTGAGCACTTTGAATCTGCCATTCTGGGCCTACGGATGTGATCTCCCGAGATTATAGTGATGAGACTGATAACAACACGGACGCAGGTGACCGTTTGCGGTGTAGCCTTTCAGGTAAGGCAGACACATTCAGTCACAAGGCTAAACCCATTCTAAGATTCCAATGACCTGTAGCTAAAGCCAGGCTGCGTTTGGAATTTGAGACTAAGGCCCCGAAACCTAACGATTGCACATCTTATCAGATCCAAGTCTTCCCAACCTCCTTAGAGCCTGGTCCAGATGGGCGCCTCAATGCACTTTGATCAGTCTAATCACAACAATTCACATCGGGTTCCCATCCCATTAGTCCGTTGAAGGGGTTCTCTGTTTTTCCCCTCCTCCAATGATGTAGTCAAAAGCCTAGCTCGGATGCCTTCATGCATAAAGTCACTCGACCAAGGAACGAATCGATCAGCACGTGCAGTGTGGGCATTTCGAGGAGGAGCAAGCAATGTTTAAATCCCTAATGTACGGTCTTTTATGTTGTCAATGCATGGGCAGCCCTGCGATTCAGCACACGTGGGACCTCTGGAGGAGTTGATGTGGAACACCTTTTTCATTGTAACTCTGCCCTAGCCGGGGAAATATGCATTGTATGGCATATGTCTGCAATGCCGGTGCGTTTAATCTCCCTGCTCTGAATGCAAGGTTTCCCGGGCATGACTCTAAAGCCACAAGAAGTCCCGTGAGGGGCACGATGGACACGGACCATATTTGAGGAACTAGAGGGGTAGCGAGCAGGGTTAGGTCTCGCTCAGGTCTGCGTTAGCTCGTCCATACTCTACACCGCTCCTGCCACAATACCAGCAACAGCAGACCGACATTCCTACATACGTGGTTTGAACCAACTACTTTAGTGAAATAAAATACCAGACGAGAAGAGCCGCGTTTGCCATTTCGTTAGCCGCTCCTGGGCCGACACCGGACTGAGGGCTGGTCAACCAACTGCTCACCGCTAATAATACCCTATGGCTTGCGGGATTTCCACCTGGCATCTCTGCCCTGGTACCATGGACATATTCACCAATAAATCGGTGACTACTGAAGACCTAACTTGTATGGACCCCTCATTGCCTACTTACGTGCCTGCAAAAATGCCGTTGCCTACACCGCCGACCCCGGTCACATGCACCTCAGAGACTCGGTTTATCCATGTTTTTGATCACAAGGCAACGAAGCAAGGGTTCAGAGCCCAAGGCTATGGAAACTTTGAAATACGAAGATAAGTGTCTTCAGTTTCGCGAAGACGTGATCCTCGTAAAACAAAAACCGCATATTGGTCTCGGTCAAGGTCCTACAGGCAAGCACAAAAAGTGAAGTGGAGGTACGACAAGGCGTCTACCACAGCGTGTCATCTTAAGTATCAAAAGGCGAAAGCAAGTAGGCGTCGTAGTGGACGTTTGACGGAAGTTTTAGTTTCATCAAACCTGTGCGTTCATCCCGTGTCCTAGGTACCATCGCCCACAAGGGGGCGACAAGGGCCCCTACGGTTTACAATATTGTTCGTGTCCCACAGATGCACGTCGAAACTCTATGCTATATGTTTCGTGTGAGCGATTACAGCGAATTTGTACGACTGATCCGCCTAAGGCTGATTTTAACCCGTATTTACTTGTATCTCTCAGAACTGATGAGACTGGAACAGAACTAAATGCGGATCTGAGACTTAATGATGCCTGATCTTCTTGTTGTGCTAGTAACGCAAAGGCGGCTTCGAGACTGATCAATACCCAGCAGCGGTCTCTGCACATGCGAGAAACATCCAGGAGAGGAAGCTGCTGCCTAAATGAGGATTTCTATCCAGGCCTGACGCTCACCGAGGTAATGAAGCCCTGACTAGGCAAGGATCGTGGCTCCTTCATAGGCATCCTTTTTCATTGCCTCGCTTCGTGCGGATCTCGTCCTCTCTTGTGTACATTGAACGAAACAGTGCGGCTATCTGGCCAGAAGCGTTGCCTTCTTCGTTGATCATCGTCGAGAACCCAAGTGCCGGGGCTGCCATCCTGGATTCCATGGGCTAGATTCATCTTCGCCGGGATGGATGAGGGAGGATATCCTGGAACCCGGGTAAGGCTTTCGATTCCCGCTGAAGATAGTTCCCCGCGGCACCCACAGGGGTCTTCCCGCGGCCATGTCTGGGGCGTGTTGCGACGTCGGCCGACAGATGTCGCTGTCCGTGGAGACACGTATGAGGCCAAGCCAATGAACCACTACTGATAGATGAGGCCCATGAGGGCTACCAATGAGGGGGGCATACTATTTGTCTAAACCTTGGACCTGTTGGAAAATTGTACCAGGTCGGATGATGCCGGCCGTTATGATAGACATTTATCATAAATGATAGGCGCACTTGATAAACGATACCTGCACCTTCGGGGGTTGTTCATCTGCATCCGCGGATACACTAACAGCGCGTAAGCGGATGAATGCTGGGTTCAGGCTAGGGACTGACAAGACTCTGCCCAACCATGTACTCAGCCCTGATTAGCAGCCCTATTTTCACCCAAAACATGCACGTGCTGATCCCGTGACGGCCCACGGTAATGTACTTCTTCGATCCTTACCTTCAAACCTCCGAATTATATAATGCCACGATGTAGAAGGGAGAACTGGTGCGGAAGCGGGCCTCATATGAAAGACATTCGTGCCCAAAGGATCTGCAGGGCGTACGCGAATCACACCATGTGTCAACGTAGCGATTGCAACCAAGGGCCGTTCCGAAGAGATCAACATGATTATGTTGGGTTACTTTGAGGCTGCCTAATAGGCTCGGCAGCTCTATGCTTTGGGCTCATTACCGTGTGGCGCCATGATGCTCCGACTGGCTTTGTCGTCTTGTGTCAAGCCTGAGCCTGTGAAAGGAAGACTGGGGTCATGCTCTCCGACAACGTACAATAGGCGAGAAGTCGTTTCGGTCATCAAGAACTGAGCACCTGATGTTGAATGGTTAATGAGTGAAGTGTTGCAGAATTGTGAAACATCGGTCAGATTTTTGTACGACCAAAGCCAGATCGAAGTTGGACGCCTGTCACGCAAGAACCGGCTTGATTGAGTGTACAGGCTGTAAGACGTTGCGACGATCCGAAAGTGCCAATGTGTGGTTATAGTCCTAGTCCAGATTTATTTCGTACGTATGCGTTTATGCGGACGTAAACGCTAGTGGCTGCCCGAGGCGGTCAATTTGATCGGGAGAGGGAACGGAGTTGCTGCAGGCTCCGGCCCCATCAGACTCCGTGATCCCGGGCCCGACTTTGGTGATCCAGGTTGTCATC